TTGCTGTTGCCTAGTTATTCTGGCCCAAGACAGAGAGATTCCTGCTTACTTTAATCTGCCCAGGGGTGCCCAGTCTTAATGCGATTTAGCCCAGAACGTCTCTGAAGAGAGGAAGGAAGCTGGGAGTGTAAGTTAATCAATCATAACTCAGGTTTGAAGATCCAGAACCTTCCCCACACGCCACTAGAGTGCAGATACCCCTCCCCATCCCCCAGAAGCAAACGTTAGGCTCTATATGTGTTGCAGCTAAATGTTACTGACTGTCCAAGCAGTTAGAATGTATCCCAAAGACGGCAGTTTCTAAAAGGAAAAGAAAAAAAGCAGTCAAGAATATGAGTCTTTTACTTTCAGTAGGTGGCACGGCATAGGAAGTTTTGTCCTTAAGCTGTTAGTTTATTAATGTTTGTTTGCATGAAAGTTTCCAAGTTCTCTTGGACATATTCTTGCTGGCTGGACCAGTTTTTCTGATAGTGCAGAAAATCACTATTTGATTTTCATGATTTGCTTGCTAAATCATCAATTCAGCTAGGTCATGTTCTGGCCACTCAATTTTTATAAATTCTCTAAATATCATGAACCTTTCAGAACAGGCCATCCACTCAGAACATGAGATGGGATGGAGATAAGACTATCAGATTCCCCTCAGCAGACGCTCAGAAAGTCTCCTCTGAACCAGGAATATCAGGTCTTCTTCCAGAAAAGCCCCCAGGGTTCTCATAAATGGGCAGCGAGATCAGGAGAAAAGAAAAAATGAAAATAATGCTTCATCAAACTAGAGGTAAGACTGAACTAGAGGAAGCTATCAAAAGAAAAGAAATATTGCAAAGAAGAATTAGGAGAAAAAGAAATGTCCAGAGACAGACTTCAGTGACTGATACTAAAATTACACTCTTCTTTACAGCAGCACACAAGGTTGGGGAAGGACAGAGCCTCCCTGAGACTACCGAGCCAGTCAGAGGTAAGCTGTCTCCACGTTTCTGTGTAACTCATTCCACAGACTTGCTCAGTGTAAGATGAGAAGACAGAGGCCCAGGTAAGGTAAGGACTTGTTCTAGGTTAGACAACCAGCTAATAGAGCAGAGACTAGCAAGGACTCAGGTTTGACGTGTTCCTGCTTCACTGGTCCTGTGTATGGACAGGAGGCAAGACAGAGAGAAAGCGCAGAGATCACTGGACCTCATGCCATGATGTCCAGGCTACAGGGTTCGAGTTCTCCAGAAAAGATCACCTCAAAGTACTATCATGATTTGAATATGAAAAGCACTTACGCTCTTTCGTGCTATCGACATGTGATCCACGCATTTTTAGGAAAACATAGACTCTCATTAAATAACCACAATATAACTCAGTCTCTCATTAACTAAAAAGAATGAAAGCAGCTCATGTAAGAGAATAAAGACGTTTCAAAACAACCAAAATCTAGCTTAAAGCTGATTACACATGGAAGGGGGCAAGATGGAAATCACTAATTTCACATGATTACTGAAGTTTCGGGAACAGGTACCACTACCACACTCTACCCCCTTATAACAGTAGCATCAAAACAGCACAAGTCCAAAGTACAAGTTTCTCCAAAGTCGAGGTTCTTACTAAATCACAGGGTTCCCACTCCCACTTTCTTTACGTTTGGAAGAACAATTAGGTTAAACAAGTGTATTGTTATAGAGATCAGCAACGGATTTTTAAATAAGGAACACATACACACACACACCCCCACCACACTCCAAGAGCCTAGGGTTTAGACACATTATAAAACATGAAATAGGGCTGTATAGGAAGAAAGATATTTACATATCCTAAGTTCATTAATCATTTTTCACCTTTCCTGCTTTAAATACTCAAATTCTAGAATGAAAAACCAACCAACCAACCAACCAACCCAGCTTTAGAGATACGAATCACACGTCTGGTAACTTTTCATTTACTCCTCTCCCGACTCTGTTAGGGTTGAGTATGATGACTCCAATTTGCAGATGAGAAAATGGACACTGAGAGGGTAATCTGCTCAAGGTTGCAGAGCAAGTAAGGAGGAGAGCTGGAATTGAACCCAGGTTGCCGAAGTTCAGGCCTTTCCCACTACATCAGTAGTTCTACAAGCGTGGTCTGCAAACCCCTGGGAGAAGGGTCTCCAAGCCTCTTTCATGGGGTCCAGGGAATCAAACCTATTTTCAAAATACTACTAAGACACCATTTGACTTTTCACCATGTTAACATTTTCATCAACGGTGCAAAAGCAATGGAGGGTAAAGCTGCTGGCAGCTCAGCCTAAATCAGGGCAATGACACCCAACCTCACCAGGCATCACTGCCTTCTTCACTGCCGCTCGTCTGCAATACAAACACTGCCAGCTTCACTTCAGAGTGCCCTTGATGAAGCAATAAAAGTGAGTAATTTTATTAAATCTCCACCCCTGAGTACACATTTTTTAAAAACTGTGACAAAATGGGAAGCATGCATAAAGCACCTGAGCCACATTCCCCAGTTCCACGGCTGTGTCTGCAGGGAAGTACCTGTGCAGGTGTTTGAGTTGGGAGCTAAACGAGCCACTTTTTACCCCCTCAAATGGAAGATTACTCGAACTTGAAAGAATGGTAAGCAAGAAGCTATTCAGACTTGCAAGTTTGGCAGATTCTTTTTCAAAAGGGAAAAAAGTAAGCCTGTCATTTGAAGGCAAACAACTGTATTTGTTGCCAATGATAAAATTTGAGCTTTCAAGCAAAAACTAAAAGCTTTGGAAATTTGTATATACCATCATGAGACTTTTCTGATGAGATTTGTTACTGATGTTAACCAATGTGACTTTTTGATATTATATAATGTGTCAACATTTGAAGACCTGCATAACTCAGTAAACCAATGTTTTCCAAATGACTAATACAGGATATTACAACATCATGCAGGGGAAAAGATTCCATTCTTTGCACATCTAAAGCATTAAATGGATTGATGGATTTGAGTGTGTCAGAATATACAGATTTCATTGATATGGCTTCAGATTCCACATTGCAGCTTTTAAAAAACTACTAGTTGTCAAATTCCAGTGTATTATGAAAGAAGAATATGCACAATCATCTGAAAAGATCTATCCTTTTTAAAAATGTATCTGTGTGAGGCTGGGTTTTCTTCATCTAGTTCAACTGAAACAACCTTGTCACACCAGACTGCACGCAGAAGTAGATATTAGAATTCAGTTATCTTCTGTATGCCAAATATTAGAGATTTGAAAACTACAAGCCATTCTTCTCAATACTTTCATTGTAGAAAAACAAAGTAATTTTTCATACAAATATGTAGTGGGTTTACCTTTTCTAATGAATTAATATTTTTATTAATTTTCTCATTTCTTGTAAATTTTCTCAATTTAATGTCTAATAAAGTAATCCACCATAAGGTCAAGTATAAAGTGGTCCTGAGATCAAAAAAGATTGAGAACTCCTGCATTACATCATGCTACTTGCCTTTAATATTTAAAATAGTAAGACAGTAGAAAAATATTTTGCTGTACAGATTATGTCTCTAAAAAGTTTTTAAAAGATTACTGGGTTTATTCCTAATTATTGTTACTGATCAGAATATGTTCAGGCAGCCCCACCCCTGTGGTCACATATACAAAGAAAGGAATCCTCTGAAATAAAATGCTGTGAAGGAAGCCTTATGCTATAGGTAGGTCCAAAAGCACCCTACTCGAATGAGGGGGAAAGGCTGGAATTGGAAAGAGAGCTTGACCTACCTTAAGTGAGTTCGAACCAAGGCCTCAGCGGATGCTCAGGGAACAATGATGTCTCACTAGTAAGAATAGATGGCAAAACAAACATATTCCCTGGTGGCCAGAATCAAGGAACTGTGTTCAATTAGTAACAAGAATTATACTTGCTGCAGAAAAAAAAAAAAAAGGAAAACACCTACACTGAGCTATTAATCTGTAATGTTTTATGACATTCGTCATAGTAGAAAGATACCAAGTTCAACTGAAAAGCAAGTTTTTCATCAGGATAGATCCTCTTATCTTTCAAGCCGATATTAAACCTTTGGTGAAGCAGGACGTCTTGGCTTAAAGAGGAATGGCAAAAAGTGGAAGTGACTGCTCACATGCCAAGACAGAGTCTGGCCTTCTCTATTCCTTTAAGAAGATGGCCATCTAGGAGCAAGTACGGATGGTTTAGGTATTTCTTTCTTCTATCTTTCTTCTATCTATGTTTACAAATAGAGCTAAGAGTACAAACAGGTTGATTTCTGCAAAGTACACGTGACTTAATTTTTTTAAAGGTTTAACTAAAAGATCCTACAAACACTAAGCATTTCTGGTTATGCTTATTGTATCTATCAGCCAAATGCAACCCTGAGGGACTGGAAACTCAAAGAGCACCCCAAGAATACATCAAATTACACTCCATGTCAAAACCAACACACGAAAAAGCCCCAAACTCAGGGAATCTTCTAAGCTGAAATGGGACCCATAAAAACTCAGAAACGCTGGCAGTTTGGGAAGTCCAACACTGGGGATAAGAATGGCAGTAAGGACATCTTATTTTCATTTAGGTCAGCATTAAACCAAAGTATCTTCAAGTGGGCCATAAAAGCTGCCCCATTAATCCCACTAAAGTACACTTAAAAATGGTTAAAATGACAACTTTTATATTATATATATATTTTACCACCATTAAAAATAGTAATAATGTAATGTATCCCCACCACTGAACTGTACATTTTAAATGAGTGAATTATACAATATATGAACTATATCCCAATAAAGCGGTTTAAAAAATGACAGCAGAGCTGCCCTAGCTGCTGGGGCAATCCCAGCTGGGAGGGTCCTCAGGGAAGTTCACACGTGACGGAGATCAGCTGGCTGGTCTGACTAGTAAAGACGCTCTAATAAGCAGGAAGGTATCTGACAGTCACTGCCAGTAAGATTAACTGAGGCCTCCTGGGCACTGAAACTTTTCTAACATAGCTTGTATGAGACAAATCAACAGGAATATAAATAACAAGTCAAATACTTGGTTCCTTTAAGCATATTTAATATTTGAATTCTCATTTTCTATTTTCCCAGACCCCAGAAAACAGAGTTTTTAGATGACCAATATTTTGTTCCAGAAACATACAGCCTTACAGCTAATTCATAAAAGAGCTATTTTACAAAGGTACGTCTGGATAATTAGAACAATAAAGTCTTTTAGGCATTTAAAAATGTGATCAGTAAAAATACACGATTATTAATAAAGTTTTTTTTTTAAAGATAGTTCCAGATTTCTTTAAAAGTAATTTCTGTTAAAGAGTACATGATTGTATGGTGAACAAGGAAGGTAAAATGTTCTAGTGGGAAGAGGCTGAGTAAAAATAACCCGCAGTGTGCACATTACAGTTTATCATGTTTGCAGTACGTCTGCTTAGCTGTTGGCACCCAGACACGGTGAACAGGGCTTCCTTCTAGGAGGTACTTTTTTTCCTATCAGTTTATTTTCCAAACCATCAGTACCAAAGGGGGAAGAATAAGGCAAAAGGAACTCTTTTCTTGAAGAAAGGACAATTTTGCAGATCACTTTGAAAAGGGGTGGAAAAGTCAGGAAAAAAAACAACCCATAATTTACAAAACAAAAATTGTAACACTAGGGGGGAGAAAGCTAGCCAGCAGAAAGAGGACTGGAAGGTCCTGCTGACTTTCTACTTTGAGGTCCTCTGGACACAGTCCTGAATGGTGCCCTCTGTGACACGTAGGGAAGGAAATGCTGACCAAAGCTCTAGTCGGTCAAAATAACACCACAAACCACCTTCAAAGAAGACGGCTTCCAGTTTGAAATACAGAAGCTCCAGGTAATACACCAAATTTACCAACATCAAAAAGAAAGTTTCAGAGGAAAAACAAGTACGCAAATAAAAGACAACTCACAGGAAGCATAATTACTTTCTTTAGCTTCAAAAATAAGAAAAAATAGGCTTTCCTCCTCTACTGTCACAATAGCTCCCCACCTTCCTCCAAAAACAAATTAACAAAACCTTTTTCAGAGGGACTCACCTTTCTAACAGTCATTAGAAGTTGTTTTAGGGAAAAGAAAGCCAAAAGGCTTATAAAATAGACCTTCGGCGCAGTATCATATAATAGGTAATTACGGTTTAGGTCCTAAAAGCCAAGATAACTCAAGCAGTTCAAGTTAGCTGATTTTAAAGTATGCCAAGTACATGGCTTCTAGGGCGGTAATCATGATCGTAAATTATAGCACTTTGGGGGTTTGTTGATTTACCTTGATTAACTCTGTTCTCTGAAAAGGAAGGAGACATTCCAAATGTAATTTGTCACTTCATAGCAGAGGAGCCATCAGGCCCACAGGAGAGAGACAGCACAGGGTCACGGCAGGTCACTGCAACAGCTAAACCCCAGCTCTCCTGCTCTGGGAAGGTTGCTTTTTCCACCACTCTTGGATCTTTCCGTGTGGAAGTAGATTCCAACTTCCAGTCACGTTAACTTTGAGAGAACAGCTTGATAGTAACTAGCCTCACTCAAACAAAGGTGAATATTGAATTCCATCATCCTGAAAGGCAGATATAGTATCAAAGTAAAATGGACGTCATTATAATGGCCACAAAAAAAAAAAAAAAAGAGGGTGTGGGAGGCCAGGCTGGGAAGGAAGTTAGGCTCGTTAAGATAACAGGAACACTCAAAATTATGGAATCATTTCAGAATCAGACTTCAGTTTGGGGCTTCATTTGAAAATCTCGATATGAATTTATTCGGAAGTACTAGAGCTATGGTCAAAATATTTTTCCAGTTAGCCCTGTTTTTATTTCAAGGAGAAGTTAAACTGCAGGGAAACAAAAGCAAACAGTTGCTAAGGACAAGGGGTTGGCTGAGCTAGAAGAGAAACCAAAACTTTGGTATCTTACAAAGCTTCTTGAATGAGTGCTAGAGAATCATGCAATTACCCTGTACTGTCTGAAGTGAAAATGAAAATTCTATTTACATTTACCTTCCTCCTGATGAATTGCCCACTGATGGTATGAGTGTCAAGTAACTACAGGTATAGCCCCTTTAGTTGGGAGTGACTACATTATTTCCAGCAGCACAATTGTAACCATTTGGTTTCCACTTGCTTCTCTTGAGAGATACAGAAAGTTCAAGTTCCAAACTTTACTTAAATATTAACTTCTGCTTCTAAAAATTTTAATCCCATTTTGATTTACTGAATACGTGGGCTACAATTCAAAATAAAATTCTAGTTTATTGATACGGTCCAATGATCCAAGTTGGTCTACTTAAAAACAGAATAGTTTTGGAAAGACAGAAACAGGGATCTGGACATAGGTGAGCTTGTTGAGCCTGTTAAGTTGCACTGGTGTTTATAAAAGTAGTTGGGAATCCTTACCACTTGTGATGAGGGAGAAAATATATATATTTGGAGGGAGGGTTGGGGGATGGCAGGGAAGAGTAAAATTACACCCTAATTACCCTCAGAGTTCAGAGGGCACTACTGAAAGACATGAGCAGTGGATGAACTCCTTGAATATTAACAGAATTTTACTATCTGACAAATGATTTCGTTTTAATTGGCAAAAATACTCCAAAACATATATGCCTGGTGCACAAAGAAAACCATAGAAAGCCAATATAACTGAAGGAGTTCTCAAGTTACAGTTCTGAAACATTTATCCTCTGGAGGGTGCTGCCAGCACTGCTATTCATTCTAGAGCAGGCAGTTACCAGTGCCTTGCCCGCAGTATCCAGTGTATGTTCTGGTCTGCAATGTTTTAAGGTCAGTCCTGCACCAGTGTGGAGAAAGCTCCAGCAGTGAAGTCAGAGGAAGTGCTTCCGGAGCTGGTTTGAGCAGCTCTGCCTTCTCCAGCACATCTTTCTCCACTCCACTCTTGGCTCTCCTTTTAATTCAAAGAGCCCTTTGGCACCATCAGTGCAAAAATCAGAGTCAAACCTCCAGGTACTAAAATTTTACTGGCCTTATAATCAGTGTACCCGTGGCTAATGCAAGCCATTGTTCAACTCAGTAGTGATTCAGCTACATCACCTTCCCAAACTCTTACCCGCTCCCGTCCCACCCTCCTCAGCAACCCCCACCCCTGCCACCATCTGAAACATGTTTGTTTTTCCCTTCTGCTCAATCGGCAGGGATAATTTTACACAAGTGCCAAAGTCTAATGTATAATTATAAAAATGAAGCAATACCAAGAATAACAAATTATTATAGTCAAGAAAATAAAATTTGCTTTCCTCTCCCTCTCAAATTCCAACCCTCAACAGAAAAGGAGACAACAGAAGAAAACACACCCACTTTTCAAGTGCCTGCTATTTAGTACATTGAGGATTCCTGTTAATTGGGAGTAGATCCCAGCTACAGAGAAGAGGTGCTTGCCTCGGGTGGGAGGAAGCCCTACCTGGGAGCACAGAGCTCAAGTCCTCTGCACTTAGGAGCTGCGGCAGACTATGCTTTTGAGGTGACTCTCAGAGGAACAGCCTACTGGGGTACAGTTTTAGTGAAGGCTGGATGCTCCTCCCTCCCTCTGCTTACTCCCTCCTCCTCGTCACCTCTCTATCCCACCTCCTAATACCCCATCCTGAATTCTTTGCTTCAGGAGCAATCGATCCTTGGGTGTACTAAACACAAAGGGCTAAAACTCTCACTACTCAATTCAAATAAAACATGGCAAAATAAAAATTAAAATGTGCTTTCAAATACGGAATGAAGTCAAATAAATACATCTGATTTTCTCTTTCTCTTAAGTCTAAGTAAAATCTCATATTCTACACCCAAAACTCTATACATTTGGTTTTTGTTCTGAATCAAAGTGAATTTCCGGTAGTGAGGAGAGCAGTGAGAGAAGGGGTGCTCCCTCACTGACAAACTAGTGCAGCTGCCAGGCTGTGAAGAACCAGTCCCGCTCTGGGCACCTCGGGACACGGCCACCCCAGGGAGTCCGCAGGCACATCCCCTGTCACACACGCTCTGTGTGTCCACACTGGAGCCAGGATGTGGTGATACAAGGTCGATCAACGCTCAAATCCAACCTTCAGTCACCTCCAGGACAAGCAGCTCTAACTTTTATCTGGGCAGAACAGAGAGGTGTGGAGATCAAATTAAGACGAAAGAACAAAGCAAAATGAATGCTTAGAGAATACATTTGAAACCTGTGGGCATCATTATATCTCTGTTTCTGGATCAGAATAACCTCATGTGAAAGCATGTAAGCAAATGAGTGCAAACTGCTGCTCTGAACACAGATCCCCCTGCAGTCACGAGAGACATTGCTCTCACAGTCAGGGGAGACACAGAAGTGCAGCCAGGCCTGCAGAGGACCCCACCTCCACCACCTGGGAGCCTCGATTTACTACAGCTCTGCCTTCTGCTTTTGCAAAGATGAAGACAGACAGAGAAAGGGGTGGCCTGGGGACTGACAACTGCAGCTCCTCACAGAAAGGAAGAGCTGAGTCAGCAGACAGCAGCCTCTACTTGATACACGATGTTTGGAAACAAGCAGTTTTTTAAGTCAGAAAAGAAATGGCATCTCAGAAGGTTTCCACTTTAAAGAATAATACAGCATTTCATTCAATGAACTGTTCAGGTGGGATGATTCTTGAGTGTGAAATCCAGTTTTCACATACCTGAGTGCTTGTCTGTGAGGGCTGATCCAGCCAGCCTTTGGCAAAGAATGGTGTAACTTTCCTCCACTTTCTGTAAAACAAAACCCATAGGGTTTTCATTTGAACATTGTAAAAAATTTTATTTTGAAAATAGGAAAGAAGACTTTTTTTTAAAAAAAATTACAGGTACATGCTTCCAATTTCAACATTAACATCATTAAAAATTTTGTAGTAGGAGAAAAAAGTAAATTTCATTCTTTTTACCTGTTTCTCCCTTCAGTGAATAACTTAACGTTTTTCCATGTAAAAGGAAATAGAGGAAGGGGCAACTGGGAAAGCTGACTCTCCCACCCCCAGGAGCCGCCCTGAAAATGGCCCCACATGTGCTATGAAGTAAACTGAAGCCAACCTGCCCCCAGTGGCCTTGTAGCTATCTCACCTCATCAGCCACAGCATGTCCCTACATAGAATCATGTGAAGAAAGGAAAACCTATCACGTGAAGTTAAAAGAAAAACTAAAGGAGACCAGTCCTCCCAAAGAGCTATTAGCTAAGAGGTTAAGAACATGTTCGTCTCTGTCTCTAGAGCCTCCACTAAATGATGTCACGACAAAACATTTAAGCTCTGGCGGCCGCGCCTACTGATGGCAAACTCGCAAAGTTCTTTTCTCTGAAATTACCACAAAAGTCAGTTTTGCAAGGCTGGCTTATACAGTGACATCTTCAATGACCAGTTTACAAAACTCCCCTTCACAGGCAGGGTTTTAGGTTACAGGAGCCACTGGAGCCAACTTCTATCTGTCGCAGCAACTGGGAAACTACCATTATCACCTAACAATTCACAGGTAATTGCAAGGTCATGGCAAGCCAAAGCATTTCCTGCACTAGATTCATAACTACACAAACCCCACCTATCCCAGCTCGCTGTTCCATTTTCTCACAGAGGCCAGCCAAGCATCCCAATTATGTTTAGGTTCTTAAGCTCAGAAACCTACACAAACATGCAGTTTACAGAGCTATAACTTTCTCTGTTCTTGTGATTTGTAACTAGTTAAACAATGCTGATCTCAGCTTAGTTAAACAATGCTGATCTCAGCTTTTCATCCAGGTCTATGCACGGACTATGGTCAAAGAAAACATACAAATTTAGACCCTGAACAAGGTTACTGACATCAGCATTTCAGTCATTCTATATGTCCTCTCTGTTAAGGCCTAAGGATGTTATATCCACGGCCCAGGGATGTTACAGTCTGAGGTACCTTTAAGTGTTCAAGGTCAGTCTCTATCTTACGAATGTAGTCCATGATCTGGCTTTGTGCATCTGCACAAGAGGAGGGACTCTGAATCTCAAAACAGGAATCGTCCATCGCTCCCCAGCGCTGCTGGGCCAGGAACTCTGGGGTGAACGGTGAAACTGCCCCATCAGAATGAGCGTTCTGGGGAGAATGTTGCTGCTGGTGGGTAGGGTCCATGGAGGGGATGCCTGTCACGGGCTGTGGGGGAAGCAAGGAAGCAACATCCTCATCTGTGGAGCTCTCCTGCACTGCTTCGTAGCCATCAAGGATCAAATAGTTTCCTACAGACAGAGACAAACACTGTGATGAGATTAGCACTGCCAACAGCACATCCGGGGTGATGTGCTGACAACTTTAAATGCTACAAAAGAGGGGGAAAGACCACTAATTCCCAAATTCCCAAGTTCAGTTTTAGATACATCAGAGGTTTCTCACTTCCAATCAAAGCTAAACTTAGCAAACTTCCCTGGTAATTTCTGAATAATGCCATATTTGTTAACAGTTTAAAGAGTTGGAAACTACAAAGAACCTACAGGAAACTGCCATCACTTTTCTGCCAAATACCTACCTTGCCGCATCTGCTCCTTGCAATCCTTCGCCCTCATCCTGCAATCTTAAACCACAGAACGCTTGCTCCTGCCTGGCAGCCTGTGTGCTAGCCTCTGCTGGCACGCTCCACTTCCAGACATGCACGCAGCTTCTTCCTTCCCTTCCCCTGGGTCCCTGCTCCAGCACTACCTCACAAGAGGCCTTCTTCCCTGGCCACTCTGCCTGCCCCCGTTACTCTCTGCCCCTTAGTCTGACTTATTTTTCCTCCTTTTTCTTACTATCGGTCATCTATTTATTTGTTGACTTATTTACTGTTACTCTTTTCCCCATCAGTGCTTATTAAGCTTTATGAGAATAGTGGATTTTTTGTTTTTTTATTCAATGTTATATCTCCCAGCACCTAGGATGAGGTCTAGTATAGAGTGGTTTCAGTATTTATTTACGGCAGGGAAGGATACTTACACACAGACACACACACACACGAGATAAGGCTTGGATACCCGAACGACATTCATTTCAGCACATAGGACAGACAACAACGATTGAAATCAAAGTTTAAATGTGAAAGGAACTTGCCTGAGATGCGCAAATTAACATCCTTCTCTTCCTTTTTAACTGCTCCATCACCTTCTGATGGATTATCATCACTATGTGCTTCACGGGCATCAAAAAAGTGCTCTCCACTCTCATCAAGACCCCCTTCTGGCTCTGCAGGAGGCATCTCTGGGGTCATAATCATGTGGTCCATTACTAAAATGTTACTTGCCTGGCTATCTTGGAATGCCAGTACCACTGAATCCCGTGGAGCAGAAGATTCAGTTGAAGTCCGTGGGCTGTAACAAGTGGAAATGTCACCAGTTCCAGTTCTAAAGGGCATCCGTCCTTCACCAGGGGGATAGGCCTTAATATTGTCAGAGTTCTGGGTTCCACAGTCTGCCTGCGCCCCCAGGGACGCAGTCCTGCATCTTGGGAAACGCGGCCAGTCTTCCTGAGTGCTCTTCTCAGTCAAACCCAGCTGTTGTACCAGCAGTTGCTTCAACAAACCCACTGAAAGTTTTAGGAAATGGGAAAAAAACACACACACATTCACAACTATAACATTAGACTGACAATTAAATTGGTGGAATTATCAATTCTCCCCTAAAGTAAGTACCTTTTTAATAACACAGTCACATACAGTAAAAACATTAGTTTCATATAATCATTTTGTTTGTTTTGAAAAATGAAATAAAGCACCATCTAAAGAAGATTTAACATTAAACTAGACTTGAAAAACAAATCTAAGAATTCTTAATAGGCATCTCCTCTTATTCTCCTATACATCATTCTCCTGTTTAGAATGGCTGAATAACCAGTACCATGCCTGCCTCTATTCGTTCCTCCATACAACTGCAGTAACACCCCAAAGGTACTTCTTAAAACGATGCTAAAAAGCTGTGTTAAACCAAACAAAAGAACCCGAAAGTTCTGCTTTTTCCAGAAGCAGACACTATACACATAGGCATTATTTTTCTAACTCTATTAGACATACAGAACATTTATTTTAGCATCTATAATAACCCCAAGAATCTCCTTAAATGGTGAAGAAGAGAACAAAATTGCCTTGTAAATTTAATTCCAATGTTTGGTAGCATGCATAATTTCAAAGGATAAGAAATATTTATTAGTTTTAAAAAATGATCTCTCTAGTACCACAGCTTCCTTAAGTTGTTGGAAACAGAACCAATTTAATTTTAAACGGGCAAGTGTACGCTGTGAGGTCACTCACACTATGAGAGAATTACTGGGACAATGTTAGTCAAACCATCAAAAATCATTATCACTGTTAATTCAGGAGAAATTAGAATAAATTCGGCTATAAAGAACTTGACCAATTCCCTACGTTCAACTCTGGCTTCATATCTGTTTGTCTTCTGTCTCTGTAGGTGAACAGTCTCCACACAGGTTTGGGTCTTTGACCCTCTGTCCTGCTCTGTGTTCACTTCCTGAGAGATGCTATGAATTCTTACGGCCTTCACACTGAAATCCATCTCTCTCCCTAATCTCTCTCCAAAGTTCCAGTCGTAAAACTCCAGCTTCCTGCTCATCTTTCCTCTTAAATGGCTTGCCATTCATTATCTTAGTCTCAGTGTATTTTTAAAATTGAGCCCATAATCTATGGGGAAGAAAAAGAAGGAAAAAAGAAAGTGTAGCAGTGGGCAGTGGTGGTCCTTTCTAATTTTTATTTCTGACAGGAATACTGAAATTATCTCTAAATATTTCCTTTCCTTTGCCCTCACATCCAAAGAAGTCAATTTTTTAAAGGATTTGTTGGTTCCTCGCTTTATTTTTATTCCTCTAACACCATTCTAGCCAAGCCCTTTTAGCCTCAAGCTCAAATGACTCCAACAGCTTAACAGTAACTGCATCACTCCAGCCCTCTTTCCATTCAAATCCTTTTGCAGCTCTCAGCCAGATTAATCCTCTTCCGTTAGTCACACCCTAGCTTAAAAACTTCAAATGGTTCTCTACAGCTAGAGCAACTGTCCTCAGCCTTTCCCCTGCCTCTAATACACCTAAGAGATGTGATTCACTCCCAATTGTAAGAGGGGCTCCCAAACATGCTGGAGAGGGAGGGAGAGGCTAACAGAGTGGCAAGGACCACCGATTCTTGTGTGTGTGTGTGTGCACGTGTATGAAGGATGGGTAGTGGTGAACAATACAACCTCCAAAGGAAAACAGAAGAATTATCTGAAGTTTGAATAAACACTCAAAACCTTGTGGCATGCGAGCCTTCAAGTCCAGAGGACTCAATCTGGTGTTCAAGGTCCACAGCAGCTGGGCGCAACAACTTATCTTCTATCTTTCTAACCGTATCTCCCAAGACTCCTTTAACTTGTGTGGTCTACCACAGGCCAACTGCCCCACTCGCTGCTCTCCGAACACCCTCAGAGTTTTCTGCTTTGGGTCCTACCATTACTGTCTAAGTGACTGCTGTTTATTCTTCTAAATACCTATCTGAATTGTACTCACTCTTCAAAGCAATAATCACATTTTCTGATGCCTCCCTTCTCTGGTCACCCCAACCAGATCAGTTTCAACATATGTGTTATGTTTTTTCACTTAAGAAGGTTGAGGGAGGTTTTCTACCATCTTCCCAACTGTACTGTAAAATTCCTGAAGGGAAAAGTCATAGTTTATACTTTCTTGATTCTTCCTAAATGGCTGCATAGTACATTATATACAACTCTGGTACTTATTAAGTATCAGTGTTAACACAGGAATAAAACTTACAATTCCTTAGTGCATCCAATGCCCACCGCTCTTCTGAGACAGGCAAGTGTGGACCTGGGATCGTGATTTGGTAATTCACTCCGGCTTCCTTCAGAGTCCCATCTGCATGCTGCTCCTTTGCAAACTGTCTCTCAGCCACAAAGAGATCATCTACCTCCGATTTCCCAGAGGTACCCAATGAATGAGACTGAGGTTTTGACGATATTAAGGGGGACTCTAATCCCAAATCTCTGTCTATTCAATGGAACAGAAAAAGTAGAATATTATCTTAAATACAACTTTTAATGTGAAGCATTCAGGCAATACTGGAAGAAAACAACCACATGAGCTACAGAGATTGTCTGCGAAGTGAAATACATGGCAGTTTGTGCAGTGTGTTAAAGGCACACAAAAGGCTCAAGAGTGAAGTCTGTGGAAACGAGCAGCTGCTACCAGACCTGCATAAACCCAAAGACTTAAAAAAGTTTCTTTGCATTTTAGTAAGTATAGACTACATTCTTCCAGATAAATTTAACAGATCAGTTTACCTGGACTCTGCAGACCAGTGACTGAAATGCCATGATGTTCCCCTTTTAATTTTGGAGGTTCTTCTTCATCGTTGTCTCCTCTACAGAAGAAAGAAAACAATCTTTCAGCTTCATGAGGTGCCTAAACATTATTGCAACAGAATGTTAAGAATTATCTATTTCTTAATTCTGGCCAAAACCAGTCCTACTTTGAAACAAAGGCACACTCACTCGCAAGGTGGTGACTGTGGCAGTGGAATTGGCTTTGTGGATTGCTCCTTCACTGATGCAGCCATCCGACAGATTAGGTCCTGCCAGCTGCAAGAAGGGGGAAAAGAAACCAAAATACAAATGGAAAAGGAAAAAGAAATGTCCTTTAAATATTCTCAGAAATCAAAAGAAAACAAACAAACAAAAACAACAAAAAAAAAACCCAGAAACTAAATTAAACCAAGCCAACAAACAAAAAACTCTCCTTCTGCCAGAAAATATATTTACTTTGATGACGTATTATTAAGTAGAGGTTGTAAAAATTCTATACCTTAAATAAAAACCTAACAACATTATGGATATACTACCCATTAAAAAAACTTCATTTGACACTTCTGAGAATTTTTTTCTTTAGAAAAGATACTTTCAATAGAACAGAACCAAAATAAGAGACATCCGTCTAAAAAGGAAAAAGTTCTTAGAACATCTCTCAAAGAATGTTTAGAGGAAGTGCTTGTTTCCACGCAGTTTTTGGTTTTCAAAGTTGTATTAAGAAAGCAAAGTTAAGACTGTGGGATATTCAGAATAATAAAAAATATTAGAGCAAGGCAGCTATATCTAGTACATACACAGTCTTCTCAGAAACTGTCTGTGCCACCAGTTCATAAATTTGGGCTCCATTGTCAGACATGGAGATGACGAATAAAGCTTTGTTATCTGGGAAAAAAAAAGCAGACAAAAATTACTCTAACAATATAACCTACAGAGGCTATGAAAGATATTTCTAGGGTCCTGGTATTATTCTGAATTTTAATCTAGGAAAAGGTTACATGTGTTCACCTTGTAAACATATGTTCACTTTATAAAAATTAAATTATCACTCAAAATTTGTGCAAATTATTGTATGTTATACTATGTATATTATACTTTAATAAAACAAAGATTATAAAAGCTAGCACTGATGTCCAGTTTATTAAAAACAAGAAGGTGTCTATATATCTAAATTACAGAACTGAACACTGTGACTCTTTTTGCATTTATTTTGAATTGTCTTTTTGCTAAATGGTTAGTAATATTCAATGGGTGTTAGAGAAAAGAGGTCATAAGTTTATCTTACTACCATGGAACTAATGAGTTTTAAAAGGACTCTCACTGTTAGTACAGTTAATATGTAACTTTATGACTTAAACTGATTTTAAAAAAAGCTAAACCACACCCACTTATTTTTTCCCACCAAATCAAAAAAAAACATACCACCCTAATGAAAGCCTTTTCAACGCGATTACCTCCAATTCACTATCTTCACTGCTGTCTATCAGTGATTTGAACGTGGAATAAAGATCAAAGAAATATGCAATTTTCAAATGCAGAAAATTATTCAGAGAATCTAGGCATCCTAAATAATTTTGGGGTATAACTCTTCATTCACCTTCTAAGAAGCAAGTAAATTTCATTTACTCTGTACAAGAATAAGAGAGGAACAGAACCCAACGCCAGCTGTGCTCCTTCAGCAACAGTGAGCATCTTATGCAACCTGATGGTGAGCCTGGAGGTTAGTGTCACTCCGTGGACATACTCGCCTGTTGCCACTTGTCGAACCAACACTGTATTCAACTTAATGACGGGGCTAAATGTGTGTTTACTATCAGCTGTAGACGCCAGAATTTTACTATGACACCTTAACACCAGTCTATCATCCTGCTTTTGTAATAATACAAGAATATCTTCCAGCAGCAGTGTGTAAAGATCTAGAAAAAAAAAATGTAGGAAAGGTAATTAGTACAGAAATTGAGATGTTTTATAAACTTTGTAACAGTTTGACAGAGAAAACTGATTTCTGTTAAATCTAGTAAGTTTAGAAAATTGACTTGCTATTTATTGTCTTTTTAAATTTCATTTTCTAATAATTCATTTTTTATGTATTACACCAAAGTGTTAGTCTGTGACTGACAAGAAATTAAAAACAATGATTCTTCACCACAGACAGTTTGACAGTTTGAGATACAGTGGTTTTAAGAAGCTGAGAGTCATTAGAATACAAGGATGGAGATACGACTGAATCATGAAAAAAATTTTCTGCTTCATCCCTAAATGAATATTTAATACACTTCATATATAGCAAAATAACATAAGCAGATCTATAAATGCATAAATAACACAAAGTAGCATTGCTAATTGCTGTAACTGAAAAATGGAAATGGTTCTCTCTTCTCTTTGGCATAAGGAAACTTTTCTGTTCTTTTCCTTTCTCCACTCTCCCCAAAACTGAGATAGTACACCTACCAATAGTTTTATCTCTGTTCACCTTCCAAACCAATGGCCCTTCATGAATCATCTTCCTTTTTGTTAAATCCAAATTCTGCCAAAATAAAGAGAATTACACACAAATTATTTCCAAGTACTTTGTGAGATGATATTCCAGACAGTCTCCTTTCACAAAGTACTTAATACAAAAGACACCATTTACATTCAGTGTCATTATTGTTATCTGTCAACAATTGAAAATGGAATAAAAACCAAGTTAAAGTAAGCTGTATAAAATTTTCTAAAAGGAAAAAGCAGAAAAATACTGAGGAGTACTGTCTTCTAAATCTCACTCTAAACAGATGATAACAGCTAGTGAAAATAAAGTTGCAAATATTCAGTCACTAGATTCTCACCCACTTTCTTAATTTTTCTACAAATAACTAGATGAGGATGATGCACAAAGCCTCTGAGTTCCAGGCTCTTGTTCCAAAGAAAGTTCTAAGGAACAGCATTCACCGAAGTCCAGGTAGTACTCAGGCTTGATCTAAATATTAATAACTTAATAGGAGAATCATCTTTTAGCACAAGTAGCTCTAGAAAAACCTCATTTTCTGGAAGTTAAAGGGCTAAGCATATTAGCAAGCTTTTTGATAAGCTGTTTTTTGTGACATAAAAGTTTATTTTAACAGCCACTAAAATCTGCCAAAAAACAGTGAAACAATACAAGAAAGACTTAAAATTCTGAGAAATTACTTAATACAAAAGCTCCATGTACTAGAAGTGGCAATTAGTAAATATTTTACTCTCATTCCTGTAATGGTTTCAACTTTTATGCTTTTGGAGAGCTTCAGGGAAAAATAATCAAGTTATCTTCCTTTACTCAAAAATCTGGGAAGTTCCCATAGTAAATAGCCCTACTCTTATTCAAACAATAGAATGCAAGAAAATTAAATTTAATAAGTAATATTCCTTAGTCTCCTGCAAACTCCCATCACAAAAGGTTACAGTTTCACACAAAATATTCCTCTAATGAAAGACTAAAGCAATCTTTACACACACCAAGGCATTTAAAAGGAAGAAAAGAATCATAAACATAGACAATTTGTGATGCAAGAACTCCTTCAGATGACGCGTGTTAATTATCTGCCAGATCGCTAGTAAATCTTATTTTTTAAATTATGATTAGACCATCTCTCACCCTGAGCTCTTCAACATTTGGGTACTCTGACAACTTCAGACTGGAGGTATCAAGGCGACGCTGATAATCTTCTAAGCGCTGAAAATTAGACAGGATGGAGCCAAGGTTACTGCTTTGAATATCAATGACCTCCCTTTTCCTAAACCAAATGGACATTTCACCTGCATTTTACTGAGGCCTCTGCAGCATCAGACACAACTGATGACTCACTCTTTCTTAAAACACCCCCCTCTCTCGGCTCTGCTGGTGTCACACTCTCCTAGTTTTCCTCCTATCTCTTTAGCCGTCCTTCTCCAATCTCCTTTTCAAACTCACTGGCCTCTAACTAGCTTATATTTATTTTCTAAATGTGGAAAACACACACATGGTACAGAATTCAGAAGGTACACAAAAAACACTAAGTCTTCCTCTAACCCTGTCCTTTGCCTTCCCACTTGCAATTTTCTCTAAACAAGTAATCACTAACACCCATATCTTAGGTAGTCCATGAGAAAAATTCTAAGCAAAAAGAATACATGTGTCTCTGTGCATGTGTGTATATATATATGTCCTTTAAGAAAAAAAGATATAGGAGCGTAATATATTCACGTGTATTACTCACTCAAAAGGTAACACAATATATTCATATACACATTTGTGTGTGTGTGTGTGTGTGTGTGTGTATCACTCATTAATATATCTTGGAGATTGTTCCACATCAGCGCACAGAGAGAGAGTGGTCTTATTTTTTTCAGTGGTTGCATGGTATTCAACTCTGTGAAAGAACTATAATTTATTTAACTACACCTTACTGATGGACATGTAAGTTACTCCAACCTTCTCCTACAACAATACTACAATAAAATGATCTTAAACATATGCTTTTGTATGCTTTTAAAAGGACACATAATCATATGTCCAAAGATGTATATTAGGATAAATTTCTAGAGGAAGAATTGTTAGATTAAAAGATACATGCATTTCTCCCCAAGATTTTAAAAATTTCCAAATATGCAGAAAAGTCTGAATGTGTAAACACCCATATACTCATCACCACATTCCTACATTCCACAATTAGCATTTGCAATATTTGTTTTATCATGTATCTATCAACCTATTCACCCTCTGTCCATCGATCCAGCTTACATTTTAAATGTGTTTCAAAGTAAGTTACAGATATAAGTATACTTTATTGCTAAACAGTTTAGCATGCATATTATTAACAAGAGTTCAATATTTTAGTTCTTCTTTTAAAATACTTTATTTACTTAATATTGTATTATTTAATTTTTATTTTTTAGTTTGGCGGGGGGAGGTAATTAGGTTTATTTATTTATTTTTTAATAGAGGCATTGGGGATTGAACCCAGGACCTTATGCATGCTAAGCATGGGCTCTACCACTTGAGCTATACCCCACCCCCCTTTTAGTTCTTCTTTCTAAGTAAAATTTACACACAGTGAAATACACACATTTTAAGTGTACCTTTCCATGAGTTTTTACCAATGCATATACCTGTGCAAACTCCTATCAAGATATGAAATATGGTCATAACCTGAGAAAACTGCCTCATGCTTCTTCCTAGTTAATATCTGTCCCCACATCTCCAGTGACAACCACTTTTCTAATTTTTTTCCACTATAAATTAGCTTAACCTGTCTCAAAAGTTCACATAAATGAAATTATATATATGTACTCTTTTTTGTCTGATTTCTTTCACTCAGTACGTTTGTGAGATTCATCCATGTTGTACGTATCAACAGTTCTTTCCTTTTTATTGCTGGTGTTTAGTTTATGACTATGCTACATTTGGTTTATGCTATAAACATCCCTATATAAGCCTATGGGTGTATCTTCATTTCTCTTGGGTAAGTCACTAGGCAGAAAATTGTTAAATCAAAGGATGGACGTATGAATATGTGCATTTTTAATTTAGGCATATATTGCCAAATTGTCTTCTGGGCTATAATCATTTTACACTCCAAACAATACATTTGAAAGTTCCTGTTTTTCTACAGCCTTATAATGAAATAAGTAGCTAGAGATGCTCAAAAAACCCAAATACAACTCTGATGTTCTATCATAAATCGATCTGGACCAACCTGCTAAGTGAACAGTTAACAAATGTTCCACCCTTCAATTCTGTAATGAATAGCTTCAGTTACTACTTAAAAGATTCCAGGTAACACTAATTTAATATTCTTATTCTCACTGTGCCATCCTGTATCTTCTTCTTGCGTTTCCCTTCTTACCTGCTTATTTTCTGCCTCCTTAACAGCCTGATTTACATAATTTAAGATTTGACGACAGTGATCTGCAGCTTTCTTCACCTTCTCCCTTTCCATTGGCCATTCTAAATATGACAAAGAAATCCAAAATGTAAAATGGAGGAAAACAGAAAAGAATAGAAATATACATATATATATAAATGAGATACAACTTTATTTCAACAGTTACATGAGCATACTAAGGCCTTGAATTTTTGACACCAGGCTAAAACCTATAGCAGAATCTCAATTCAGGTAATCTTTGGACAGATATGACTTCTTATCACAGCACTTTAAACATAAACACTAATCTTTAAAAAGAAGCCAAATCCAAGGGGTGATGCTTTATATCAAGTACCAGGTCCACTGTGTCACACACCCAGGGAGTGCATCTCATTCACGTTGTAAGCTAAATAAACGGGACCCCTTTCCCCCTAGAATTTCAAACTGCACATCCTAGGTGATTATGTCCAGTGGACTAATTAAGTAATATCTTTTAAAAATGAATTTATTTCATTTTTAGTTTTTTTGTGGAGGGTAATTAGGTTTATTTATTTTATTTAATGGAGGTACTGGGGATTGAACCCATGACCTTGGGCATGCTAAGCATGTGCTCTACCAGAGCTATACCCTCCTCTACAATTAAGCAATGGTTTTGAATGATAAAAACAATTTAAAATAATTCCAAAAGAAGTTTCTTTGAATTTGAGATTAAAGAAAGAAAATAGATTACAACCCTTGTATCATTAAAAGATGATGAAATTCACCAAAATATATTAAGATTATATTGAGGTTATGTTTCGGTGAAGAATATCAAAATCAGAATCATCAAAATTACAGTCCTCCAAACAATAGTCCAACTATACAAAATAAATACGGTAAAGTATAAAAATTAATATAAATTAGTATTTTCTAATTGTTAGGCATAAGTAAGAAACAGGAGTTTGATTGCATAGAATTACTATTGCTTTTTTTTAATTGACGTATAGTCAGTTATATTGTATTAATTTCTGGTGTACAGCACAATGTCCCAGTCAGACTGCATAAAACTATTAATGAAAATGAAGTATAAGAGCCTAAAGCTCATTTGAGAAACTCAGGGTCACTTCATGTTTCACAAGAGGAGAGGAGGAGAGTAGGAATGATAATGCATTGGCTGGGCTTTTTTGGGGGGAGGGTAACTAGACTTATTATTTCTTTTTAGAGGAGGTGCTGGGGATTGAACCCAGGACCTTGTGCATGCCAGGCATGCACTCTACCACATGAGCTCTACCATTCCCCCTGCACTGGCTGGGCTTAATGAAGGTACATATACAGGTACAAAACATCTCTTCAACCCAGTATAAGCCTTCTTAAAAGCAGTATGATATACGCTAGAGGAAGGATTGGTAAACTTTTCTGTAAAGGGCCAGACAATAAACACTTTACACTTTACAGGCCAAATGGTCTTTGCCACAATTGCTCAATTCTGTTGTTGTAGTGCAAAAGCAGTCAGAGACGACACATTAGCAAGTGAGCATGACTATGGTCCCATAAAACTTCATTCACAAAAACAGATAGTGAGCCAGATGTAACCCACGATCTACAGTTTGCTAAACCCTGTGTTAGAGCTGCCAATGGAGCACATCAATCAAATAGCCTGAAGAAGACTGGGCTGAATCTTGTTAGAAAATGTTGCTACGCTATTTGGAAATCCAACCTTAAGACACCAGGATGAGTGAAATATTATTCAGCAGAATATGTGTTTTTGATGCTGTTGTTCCTAAGCTTTTCAATTTCAGTGCTGTACCTGTGTATTTGGCAATATTATCCAACAGAAGAGGGTACTTAGTGAGCCTCTGCATTTGGGTGGGAATGATATCCTTCAGCTGCAGACGACGACACAGTGGATTACTCTCAGCATCCTAAAATTCAAGTGAAACAAGTGAGTGTGTGATTCTTATTAGTACTATAATTACCCAACAAGTAACATATATTCATCATATAAATGTCTACAGCATCACAGTTCTGGTTATTAAGTCAAGATCTAAAACCTGCCAAGATAACACCACTGCCACACTACACTTCTGCTTTCTTCTTTAATCACGTAACGTTGCCTTTATCACTCAGCCAATGGTTTCTGTGTTATCTGTTTAAGCAAGGATCGAGAGCATCCATAATCAACTCTAAGAATTCCTTTCTTATGAAAAAAATTTCATCTTCACATATCAAGAAAATCTAGTTACATTTTCCAACGATTGGCATTCCTATCAAAAGCCAGCCAGCTCATTTGCTATCTGCCATTCCAAATAGGCAGTGGATCACCAGTCTAGAACACGAGCTCACCTGTACAGGGATCTGTAAACTTTTCGGTAAAGTGCCAGACAGTGAAGCATGTCATCAGTCTCTGCTATACTATTTCACTCTGCTGCTTTAGCACAAAAGCAGCCATAGACAATACTTAAATGAATGAACCTGGCTATGTGCAGTGAAGAGTTCTAAAGTGTCCTCCGAGATTTCCACCTCCTGGTGTACATCCTGTATAACTCGCTCCCCTTATGATTATGATAGGCTATCACTCAGGATTAGGTTGCTATGCGTTAACTCTGAGACAATCAAAAAGGAGATTGTCCTGGATGAGTCTGACTTAATCAGAGGAGTCTTTAAAAGAAAGCTCTGCCAGAGAGACGCATTCCTACTGGCCTGGAAGAAAAGGACACATCCATCTTGTAAACTGCCTACAGGGGCCACCTGGCAAAGAGATTTGGGCATCCTCCAGGAGCCAGGAGCAGTTTCTAGCCAACAATAGCAAGAAGACAGGGATCTTGGTTACACTTTTACAAGGAAATGAATTCTGCTAACAACCAGTGAGCTTAGCAGAGTTCTCCCAAGTCACAGATGAGAACTGCAGCTGCAGCTGATGCCCTGATGTCAGCCTAGTGAGAGAAAGAAGAGAGGACCCAGGTACACTGGATCTGTGCTTCTAAACTACAAAACTGTAACATAATACATTTGAATTAAGTTGCTACATTTGTGGTAATTTGTTACACAGCAATAATTTAAAAATAAACTGTGTTCCAATAAAACTTTATTTACAAAAACAGGGAAGAAGCTGAATGTGGCCAGGGGGCTGTAGCTTACTGACCCTCGATCTATACCAATATATATGAGTCAGCATGACTGCTTTATACTCTTCCCTGAACTTGATATAAGCCAAGCCTCATGTTTTGACAATATTATGTTAATAGTGTACACAGGCCACTTCCTGACAATATCTCCATGGTCATGTGGACTTCTATGTCAAGTATTTTAATCCTACCATATATTCCTTATTATTCACCACTCCAAGATTGTCTCTATACCCTCCAATACTTTAAGAGATAATAACATTAAAAACGTTAACATAGATACGTGCATATATAGTCCTTGTACAAAACTTAGAATTCCTCAATTTGTTTTCTAATTGATTAAAAATTGCTTTTTTTTTCCTTTACATGACTCACTCAACTCACTTGCACAAAAGTCTGGAATCGAGAATCCTTTTTCTGACGAGACTTGATCATTTCCAGGGCAAAGGGTTGGTTACTGCAAAAGGTAGCAGCAGCATGTTTTAACTTTTCCTCCCCAGGTCCACTGAACTGTGCCAAGAACGCAAAGAACACAATAGAGAATGGGATACTGAGATTATATGAGGCCAGACAAAATGAGAGACAACTATAGTCCTTTCAATATTCCAAAAAGTATTCTCAAATGTTAAGAACAGATATCTACATATTACATGTGGAATATCAATGTTTCCCCATTAAAAAGAGTCTGACTCTAACACATCCAGACCGTTTCTGATCATAGTCCTACCACAACTTATTACCTTTTTGATCTATATCATTTCTAAATCAGACAGAAAGGCTGACACTTGGGGAATATGAGACACAAAATGCTTAAAGACTGACATCTTCAACCCAGTATAAGATCTTAGGGATTCTAGCTTGCTTTCTTACTATGAAATCCAGGGCAGGTCATAACTTTTCTGGGTCACAGTGAAATTAAATCACCATTGCTTCACCTGTGCAAAAGGTGGAGATCCATGTCTTGAATTTTTCTTGGGGGAGATCCATGAGCCTATGAACCTCTTTTGCTAAAAATTATGTTTTTTACTGATATTTTTTAATTTGAATATTTAAGTTTGTATATGCCATGACTTTAAGATTTCTTATTAAACATCTAACAAGTGTTTCACTCATAACAGATAATCTTATAAGTACAGGTCAAATAAATGATTTTTAATCATCTTTATATTTGTAATAATTGCCTTACGTTTGGCAAAGAAGCTTCCCATAACAATCTCCCATTAAAGTCATATTTCCAAAAGTTTGGACACAAAGATACTTTGTAAAAAATCCTTTTGTAGGGCATCTGTAGATAAACTGAGAGTATTTTTTATTTAACTAGGACACACACAAAGTGATATTTTAATAGGTTGTTCCAATGTTGTATTCTTATTCTATTATAAGCATGACATTCAACCTATTTAGAGATGGGGACTGGCAGCATTTTCATTATGTTAGTCAAGCAAAGTACTGTACAAACACCACCAGCAGCTGGGGTTACAAAAGAAAATAACGCCCCAGCATCAAGCACTTTTACAGTGGTTTTACTAGTAGCTTAAGTATACTTAAGGTGACCTCAAGGGACCAATACTGGGAAAATATCCTCCAAAACTATCTTTTAAAAATAGACTAAATCTAAACACCTACTTACGATTTTTGCTTTTGGTATTTCTGACCAACGCTTCGCCCTGAATTAACCCTTTGTACCTAACAGTTACTAACCAGACTGATTAGTCCATTCTGCTACTCCTCAGCTTTTCACAGGCACATCACATTGGTTAAGAATACAATCCCTTTTACATGTTCTAAAATAAATTTTTTGTCCCACTCTCCACTTCTTCCCCCTCGTAACAGGTTTCTCTACTGCATTTTATCTGTAGTAGATGTTATGCAGCCCAAAGGACTGTGATAAGAGGACCAATTACACTTCCGCATCTTGTTAAGGATGGATCTCACATGGCACTTTGTGTTACACATTATTTATATGAGATGCAAATGAAACTGCTTCAGAATAAAGACTGACATCTTAAGTCCATATGACTTACAGCTTTTCAATCCAAATTTGACACAAAAATTGATGCCATGCTATGTCATACTACAAATTTTCTATTTCAGGTTGAGTAGTGTGCTGCTAAGACAACACCACTCAGAGATCAAGAAACAAAATGAGTCACGGTATCACAGAGCAGCCACAGAATAAGCTGAATTTTTCAAGAAAGTTAAATTTCCTTAATAACAATAATGCCAGCATGGGCCTAGGGGGAAAGTTGGAAAGTCCAGTAAATGCAAGATGAGACTGGATTGTGATTCCCTAATCTTGCTTCCATGTGTCAAGTGGCTTAGAATAGATCTACCAGTGGAGTAGTAGATTGAGTCATGGTCTCACCACCAATGAAAGGAGTAAAGACTGTTTTAGCCAACTTTCTAGAATTCAATCTTTTAAAAAGTTATCACTGTAAAATTAACAAACCTTGTAGCATTCCTTCAAGCAGGCTACATATTGAAGAAAATTTCTGGAGGCGTATTTCAACAGTTCCCGTTCAACCAGGGTTAAGAGTTTGAGAACTACATCACATACTTATTCACAGCCTTAACTACAGTATTTTCTTCAAATGTCTGGATCAAACCCACTTTCCTCTAAGAAGATTTTCTGTATGTTCTGTATGTTCAGGTCTCCCTGCTATATATTCCCGTAATAATCTGTGTTCTTCCCTTTCTGTAGCATTAATCACACTTGAAATAACTCATGACTTATTCCCCCCATTGATTATAAGCTCCACTGGGCAGGAGCCATATCTGATTTAAGTGTCTTGGTATCCCCAGCACCCAGAGCAGTGCCAGGCACAGAAGAATATATTATGGAGTGTATAACAACAAAGAGTAGGCCAGAAAGATAAACACAATTTGACAAACAGCTACTATGGTCTCTGAACTCCTTCCTCATGTCGTAAATAAGATTAAGTAATTTTTCACTTTTCCACTTTTGTGATGGTAGTTCTGGATCTACAACTGTCTAATGATTCACGGTACACTTCTAAGATTCTGACAACAGAAAATAGTTAGAGTTGTACATCAGTTAAATTATTTTTATTATGATCCATTTTACTTTACAATCTTTAAAACAAGAAGAACTAGTATCTTTAATTTGATGAGAAAAGAGCACAGAGTTGATTGACCACTTGTTAGAAGACATTAACCAAAAGAATACATCCTTTTCATGTTTACATCAGCTTTTGCAAAATGGATGAGTTTGCACACTTGGGAAGGTTGGTTACTGACCTTGAATCTGATCAACTGTCTATAAAATTTTTTAAATGAAATAGAAAATTTCCTTACCCAGGTCAGCAAGTCTTCCCCAATCTGATCGATAACAGAGGTTTCATTCCTCTTTCGAACAGACTTCATCTGCTCATTCAACCCAACTAAAGGGGGAAAAAGTGGAAAAAAATTTAGTACACACTCATTTCAGGCTAAACTACTGGTAGTACCACTAACCTAAATGTTCAAAGAAAGGATTTTTGAGAGTAGTGTAGTTGCTTCTAATCTCCTTAAACATAAAACTGGACATCATTTTTATACACCTACATATTCTGAGTTCTATCAGAAAAACAGTTGCCAAAGCATACAACAATGTAATACATTACATACAGTAAAAGTGCATCAAATATGCATTTAACTTTAAGACTCCATCTACAACCACGCTCAACAGAACGTATATTTAAATAGCACAGATGACTCTGCCCACGGTTCCTCCCAAAATGTGGATGTTCACAGGCAATGGATATCGTCAAGTCTGAAGGTGTCCACGTGTGCTTGTGAGACCTAGGATCACCCACAAAGGAGCAAATGGCGTCGATGTGCGGATAGGTGTTAGTAGGTGGTGATGGCATTCTTGATTATTAAGGGTCCTGGAGAAACAGTGACTTACAAAGAGAGGAACTGTACGAAAGTATAAGATGACTATGCCCAAGGAAAGCCAGAAAGAGAGAACTTTGGCGTATTTACTCAAGCATTCCAAGCAACAAACCAATAAAATTAATTCCTGAAAATTTTCTCACCATGGAATTGTATGCTGTGTGTTACTATTTATAAAATATATTCATACATATTATTATATGGAATGTGTATTTTTAAAAACATACTAATGTAATTAACTGGGAATTTCCAAGGGTAACTTTAACTTTTCATGTTTTTCATCTTAGGCATTGACTTCAGACCCTAAGTCCTGTGTTAACACCCACTAGACAAAAGGCTGAGGGGGGAGTAGGGGTGACGGATGGGGAGAAATTCAAAGATTCAATCCCTTCTTTATTTATGTTTTGTGCTCACATATAATTATATAATTTCAGGAATGCTAACATGGATACATTTACAAGATTTTACTATTATGGTGCCTTTATATACTCATAATCTTTTATCTATTGGAAATGTTAGGGACAAAGAATAGAGTCAATTTCTCTTACCGTGAAGTTGAAGAATATCTTCCAAGTTTGAAAAAATTTTCCGGAGTTCTGAAGGTGACAGAAGTCCTTCTCTGGACACTCGCTGATAGAACACTTGGTCTAGAACTTTCAGTGTTCGAACATGAGCTCTTTCAGTATAGAACAATTCTAAGCCAAAAAAAGGGACATATAAAATGTTACCTTACGTAGAATGGGCTCAAACTTAGGCTTCAGCTGAAATTAAGTAGCAAATGTGTTATATAATAATTATTTACAGTTTTGAAAGAATGTAGTGTCTCTGAAGTCAGTTATTGATTCCATGAAACTCTCCTACATACTGGCTCTAAGAGCTGAATGTTGGCAATTTAAAAATATCATTCAAAACTATTTTATAGTTAAAAGTTTACAATGTACTACAAAATCCACCTGCCTTCTTACAAAAATACCCACCAATCACAACTACAACATGAGAAAACCAAGTATCACGTAGACTTTAAAGTCTTCAGAAAGAACAGTACTTTAGGCTATCTAATTTGCCTATAAACCCTCATTTCTGAGGCCAGACTTCGTAATTTCTCTATGTCTCAATGTTACTAGAGACAGGAAGGATATTTATTTAAATCACAACCTAAAGACAGTAATGGGTACAGTATTCATATGACATGTCTGTCACATATATGCTGGGGTAACATAAAGGACACTGCATGAGGATAAAGGAAGACCTGGGCCCTGGTTTTCTTCCTATCACTTACCCGCTGAATGATCATGACTAATTCAACCAGTCACTCTGAGTCTTAGCTTCCTCATTCATAATCTATGCATAAAAATAACACAGCCTGAAACTAAAGTAGTGGGACAAATGTTGTCTCAATGGTTTTTTAAGTTTGAGGTCCAGAATTCTATGAATCTTAAATATTCTGAATGCTAGACACTTTTCCTTTTAAATTGTCAATAGGAATCACAGAATCATTTACATTTTTTGAGCTGGAAAGTTTAAGGATCAACTATCTAGTTTAATTTCCTCTTCGTTCAAAAACAAAAGGCTAGCAGAAACTTTGAAGCAAACTCCAAGGCTCAGGGGTTGGTTTAACTCTAATAAAACTCAATATATAACAACAGTAACAAAAACTAATTAAACTCACCATTAATTACTTCCTGTCTTTTGATCTCACAAGGCTTTAGTCCCAGTAACACTTCTCGACTAACGAGCTGTTGCCAGTTGGGTGGATCTGTCTCTAAGTCATTTTCAAACTGTTCATCCTCACTTTGACTTTCTCCGAAAGCTATGCTGTCGAACCTAATGAAGAAAAAAATAACAAATTCTACTTGAGGACATCACACGAACAATGGGAAAAAAGCGTAAGTCTTTACATTACAGTGAATTAGATTTCTAAAGTATTGCTTAGAATAGAGCCTGAAACACCACCCTCTCCTACAAAATGGCTTACATCTATAGATATCTTTTGAATAATTTGTGTTTATTAAGAACTTCCTTTTATACTATCTGACAGATTTGTGTACAGGGTTTCTTTCCTTTAAAACTAAAACTTAAGCTGGGGGAGGACACAGCTCAGTGGTAGACTGCAGGCTTAGCATGCACGAGGTCCTGGGTTCAATCCTCAGCAACCCCCATTAAACAAACAAACAAACCAAACCCCGACCTTCCCCAAAGAAACCACAAAAACTAAAACTAAAACTTTAGGGGAAAAAAAGACATATTTCTTAAAATACGCCTCTATTGAAAGCTCCCCTAGGCTTACTTACTTTCTAAAGGGCTTTGGTGTCCCATGCTCAGTCACCCTGAAACAATGGAGAACAAAGAGTCAACACAAAAACAAAGTGGTAATCAAGAAATTTATGACAAAGATACACAAAATTGAGTTAAATCACAGTGGCTGATAAATAATTCTGGATATTTCAATTATTTGGTATCAAATAAATTAATAAACATTTCAGTACCTATCTAACATTTACTACCAATAAGTTCTGCTTCTCTCCCCAAAAGACACATGTGGAAAAAAACACTGCAAAGTACAGGCAAACTATACAGTCATGTACCAAAGCTCCCTAAGATACCACCAAATTACCTTTCTACTTCCCATTCCTCCTCCTGCACCTGGTCTAATGGAGGAGGTGGGAAATCAAAGATGGTATTGGGAGTACGAGGTACGCCATCTAAGGAGTCTCCAGATGCTGGGGTTTCTCCAACTTGCTTTGATCCTGAAAAGACAAAAGTCAGACACTCAGATGGTGTAAATAAACACAATGATTACCAAAAAAAAGAAAAATCAGTCCTCCCAAAAGCTTCAACCTCATCCATAGCCAAATTCTTACTTAAACATCTGCAGGTTAGCTAGAACCAAAATTCTAATATAAAATTTTTAAATGCACTAAAAAATAAACAGGAAGATCATTTTAAAGCAGCTTTTAAAAAATCAACGTAAGACATGGCAACAACTCAGGAGACCCTATGATAAGGAGAAACATTGCCTTATTTATCCTTTTCTACCCCCAGTGACAATCTTTTTCATTCAAATTTTAGTTATTATGGTGGCCCACCTCCAAATAATAACCTCATACTTCTTGATTTATTGTCTTTAGGTGATGTCCCTTTCTTCCTCCTCCGAGGATTTTGCTCACTTTTATGTCCCATCTTCACTTTACCCCCTTTTCTTCCCGCTGTTTAATAACTATGTTATTATTCCTAGTTGGGTTATTTGTTATTATCTCATACGTATTTTTTTTGTTGTTGTTCCAACAAGGCTTTAGTATCTTAACTCTCTTCAATACCAAATCAGGTATTTAGTGTCCATATCCTTCTCTTTAATTCTGTTTCTTCCTTTTCACCTTTCATTTCTTTCAACTACAGTTTTACTTGTATCATTAAGAGGATCTACAGCCACAACTAAACATTCTGTGCTCTGCCTATTAGGTTGATTCTAAAAGTCTGAAAACCAGCAGCATGCTTCCATTATCATGACCACACACATACTGCAGTACAACACACATATACATATTATTCTTGCCAGGTTAAGAGGTATGTTAGGATTATGTTTTCTTTTCTACTGGTCCAATGATGCAGCTCCTGGGTCGCTTGAAATAGAATGTTTACTACATTGAAGTCATATACGCCATCAATTACTTTAAGAGTATGCCATTTGAAAATTTTCCTTCATGTTTAAATTATGACAACTTTCTTGAACAGTTCTGTTTTTCTTAAGCATTTCTAAATGCCTTTCTTTCATTGCTGTCAAAGTAATATAATTTTGTCAAGTCTCAAAATTCTTCATCTCTTACATCATACTAGCAACTGCTTAAAATCTCCTTTTCTCTTAGCCTCTGTGTTCTTGTGTTCCAATCCGGAGCAGCTGCTCCTTTGGTCTGTGATGCCACTATCATCCTAGAACTGCCTTTCACCACTTTCCTGGGTTGCTTCCACTATTGCCTGGATCCCAAGAAATTTTCTTCCTTAATTTTTCTCTCATTCTGCTGGTGTGTGTATCTTAAATTATTTTCAAGGAAAGGGTGCGTTGCAGCTAAACTTTGAACCCTGGTATGTCTGAAAATGTCTTTATATCCTACTTCATATTCAATGAATAGTTTGGATGGATACAAAATTCTAAGTTCAATACCATTTTCCTCTAGCAAGTGGAGGGCATTGCTCCTTTGTATTCTAGCCTGTAGAGTTATGAGAAATGTGATACAGCACAATTCCCATTTTCTTTCTCTTAAAAGCTCTGAGGATTATCTTTCTTTATTTCTGATTCACTGAAATTTCCAAAGACACTCTAGGCATGAATCTTCCTAAGAAAATTATTATTCACTGTAGTTGCTGCCAGGTGAGCCCTTTCTATCTGAAGACATATATTCTTTTTCAACCCTGGGAAGCTCTCTTCTGTCATTTCTCTAACTGCCACTCCTCCAATTCCTCTGCTAATGTTTTGTGAAAGAGACAGACGTTGAAACTCTCATGGTTCTCTACAAAATTCTTGTTTCTTCAATTTCTATCTCCTGATATTTCTAACATACATTCTAAAATATTTCTTTGACTTTATTTTTAGAGACTCTTTTCTTTCTTCTGCTTTAATTATTAGCAGCTGTGGCGGTTTGAAAATATGTCCACAAATTCTTTGATACTCCTCCCTTCAGCAGTGGCACCTAATCCTTCTAGCGTGGGCTGGATTTAGTGACTTGCTCCTAACTTTCTGTGTACCCACAGAGACTAAGTGACAAAAAACGCTGGGGCTTCTTTCTTGCTCTCCTTTGGGTCACTCTGGGGAAAGTCAGCTACCATGTCACGGAACTCTCAAGCACTTTTATGGTGAAGCCTATGTGGTGAGGAGCCAAGGCCTCCAGCAAGGAGCTAAGTCTTCCTGCCATCAGATCTCCTAGCCCCAGTTAAACTTTCAGATGGCTGGCTGGCATCTTGATTGTAACACCACGAGAGACTCCAGCCAGATAAGCTGCTCTTGAGTTCCTCACCCACCAAAAATGTGAAGTAGTAAATATGTTTTGGGGTAATTTATCACAAAGCAACTGATAACTAATAAAACAGCTATTATATGCAATAGTTATATTAAAACTTTTTTTTGGTCTCTGTTCCATTTTCATAGCATCCTATTCTTATGTTAGATATAATAACCTCCTTAATTTCCTCAAGTACACTATCTAATGTAGAGGTTTTCTGGTAAGTTCTTGTTTACTATCTAAATTATTTTCTGCTAGTGGCAGTTTTTCCTGTTTATTTTGTCTTCTACTTTTTATGCTGCAGTGTTTGGCATTATGTATTATCGTAGGTCTTGACTTTAACAACTTTTGCCAGAGTGAGTAATGCTGCTCATATGTAAGAATGAAAGACTGGGCAGCTGATTTGGCTTTCTTGTTCTGCTATGTGGAAGTAGGTCCATTTCAGTTGGGAGCTCCTCTGAGCAGGGTGAGCCCCTGGCATGTCTAATGTTCAGGCTTTAGGCCCCCTAATGTGAGCTCCAGGGCACTGACACTGTGAAGGACTTAACTCCTTACTCAATTTATTCAACTTCTATAAAAAAAAGCATATTCGTTTACTTCTGATACATAAATGACAGACTGCTTATATTCTACAATGTAAGGATTAGAAGCTGCTGACATAATTGTTTTGATTACAGACCCTCAGTTAATTCATCATTTTCAGTTTTATTTCTTACCCGTGTACTCCATAACACATGCCAGGTCTGAGCCTAAAGTCACTCCTGGGTTCTCATTTTCAGACTGGCTCCCACCTTGGATTTCTTAAACAAACTATGGGCTCCAACTTTCTTTCCGTTGTTCTATCCATCATTCTTGCCCACTTTCAATTTCCCCAAAATGTGTTGAAATCTCTCACTGGTTGATGACATCATCTCTTCCTCTACCTGTTTTCTCTTTATGGTTTTTGTTTACTCGTTACCTACCATGTTTTTACTTCAATGAGACATGAGAGCCATGAATTAATGCATTACTCAATCGAACATTTTTGGAATTCCACTTAAGACAAAACCTCCAGACTTTTCTACAAACGCCACCCCTGTGTCTTTGTCTTCAATAAAAACCTGCCAGTCCCACAGCAGGTTACCTCTTGGGCTACAGCCCTCTCAAACGGAGACTGATGCTGCTACCGTACACTGTGGACTGCAGGGTGGAGGTGAGACAGACACACTTCTTTTACCATTATCTTACCTCTTACAAAAATCTCTTGCTCCACTGAGGCTCTCACTCTCTGGATAATATCACATGTTCTCCCTTTTGGTGGTTCTACCAACAACCACCTAGGAACACTGAACCTTTGGCTGCTGGCTCACAATTTTCCTTTCCATGCTAGTATCACGTGAGGTGACTTCAAAATCTGCGTCTATAAAGGCATTCAAACTCTTGGCTCCTTGGTTCCTTAGCTTCCTCACCTCTAGCAACCTCCTCTATGCCATCTTGCTGACCACTCCCACAGATCTGTCCTTGATCCTGCCACACCAGAAACTGAACTGCTTCCAAAATCACCAACAGAGATAGGCACTTCCTTCTCCAAATAAAACCACCCATTCCCTCGGCTCACTTGCTTAAGAAGTCCATTATATGAAGTATGAAGAAATACGGTAATACGCTCTTTCCCAATTGTCTACAATTACTTCCTATCTTTCTTTAGTCTTCAAGTCCCCTTGCCCTTCTCACTAAATCCTCAGCCTCAGCTAATAACCTTGCCCTTCACATACACTCTGCATCTCATTGCTTTTCTCCTTCTCAGAACTTTGTTCAACTGGTTGTATACTCTACTTCCTGCATTTTCAGCCTCTTCCTCTCAACTGGCTTCCCCTTAACATTAAAAAGTTTTTAAAAAGTCCTCTTCAGATGCACTCCCCCTTTCCCCCAACATATACACAACTACCTCTAACTATGGACCAGTACCCTTAACAATTCCCACAGTCTGCATTTTTTGTTTGTGTGACTATCTTCCCAGAAGACTAAGACACATGGGGCAAGACTCTCTGTATAATTAGTGTGCTAATATCTGGTACAAAGCTAATGCCTGGCAAGAGAGCTCCATAAATATTTTTTGAATGGATGAGAACTCCAAAGTATCATTCAGCATAGATTTGTCACTGGTTATAGAATATTAAAATATTAAAACAAAATTAAATTGAGATCTAGTCTTGATTAAAATAATCTGCTACTCTATTTCTTAATATAATTGTTTTAAAATCCTGCTACTTAGTTAAGTAGAACCACAGCATTAGCTCACCCATATCATTCTCTTTCCCTCCTTCCTGGGAAAGAGTGGCCCCTGAAACTATGGAGGACATGGAATTGGCTGGCAGGTATCCAATGTCTGCTCCTTCACTTGCTAATCCACTCTGGCGCAATTTAGCAGAGTCCTGAGGTTCAGGACTCACAGATGAGGGTGTGGTTAAGTGCTTAGGGTGGCGCTGCTTCTGTAGTTCCATAGCTCTGCCAACTGAGCAGAAAGCAATGGTTAGCAATTCATGTTGCAAAACAGCTTAAAAAAAAAAAAAGACAATGTAAAGAATCTGGAAATATTTCTGGAAAATGGTGGGCCCTAGAAAAATATAACGTGAATTATCACACAGAATGAGGAACAGACAGATAGATAGACAGATAGGAAGGGAGGGAGAAGAGAAGGGAAAAGAAAAAAAGGAAGAAAGAAAGGAAAAGATAGAAAAGAGAAGGAAGGAAGGAGGCAGGAAAGAGAGAGAGCAAGAGAAAGAAAAAACAAGAGAGGAGAGAAAGGCAAGGGAAAGTGGAGGAGGATGAAGAGAAAGGATGGGAGATGATAAGATGATAGAAGATGAGGGGGAAAGAGAAGAGGCAGAGGAAGAAAGGGTCGTGGGTCATGAGAAAAGGAGCTGAGGAGAGCAACGGTGGGTGGGGCAAGAGGGAATGCCCAGGGGCAGAGGTGGACACACAGGAAGCTGTATTCATTCACAAGTAGGGAAGATGAAGCCGTGAGCTCTTAGCACGCCCCTACCCCACTTCTCCCCAACACTCAACAACGGCATCATCACAATCTGCCTCCGAGACTGGGCAGACTAATCCCCGTCCTGCTCATCACCGCTGTGCACATCAGTCACCACGAGAAACTAAAGACTCTCAGGTCATCACCCCCCACAGCACTGCACATCCTCGCACAGCTTTGTATATCTGTGATCCTAAAATTCTTCCTTCCCTAATTCCTACAATTCTTCTGTATCCCTTGGAACTCATGGTCAGCATCTGTGAAGTGCTCCATTCTCTTCAACCTCTTCTCTAAAAATTTCCTTCATCTTCTCAGTGTTTCTCAACAAGGGACACTGCTGACATTTGAGTGAGAACTCCTCATTGAGTGGGACATTCAGTATCTCTGTATCATAACCGCCCCCACCCAACTCCAACCATGCCTCTAATCTCAAATGTGGTGCTGCCCAATGTGAGGACCACTACATGACCTATTTTCTCCCCCAACAGCACCACCAACCCTACTTCTCCCGCGGCCCTCTCTAGAAGGCTGACTCTTTAAATTAGGTCTGCGAGTGGAGGGATATCAGGAAATAAAGCACAAAGAAGAGGTGGAGAAATTGCAATAGTTTGGAAAAAGTGAGTAATAAACGTACAGAAAGATCAAATAACGCATGGTGGAGAAATCCAGGCATGGTTTGTTTTTTAAATTGAATGATCAGAATTTGAATGCAAACAAAATCAGAACTGGCAAGTAAATTAGGTTATGGACAACTGATGGAATACTCTACTGCCACTGAAGATGTTTATGACCACTGTGTAGCCATATGGGGGTTCGGTGCAGAAATGACATTGAAAAGAAACAATGGAAGTTCGGTGGAATCACTTCTAGAACCTTTCTCCAGCAACCCATTCTAGCTAAATGAGCCTCTGATGCAGAGGTGGCATGGAATGGTGGGAATGCAGCATTTCAAACTTCAACATACTTGCACTGTTGTCATGACGGCTTGGTCTCCTTGGGGGTCCCAGGATGCTGGGGAATCCTCTTCGCTTCCCTTTTTCTTCTCCTTCCCTATCTTTCTTCATACTTTGCTAGAGTCAAGGTGCAATCAAAGAGATGAGATATGTAACAGGACAGATTTGTTTTGCTGCTTTTAAAGACAGAAATGCAATTCTAATGGACAGTTGAAAGAAACTGGTTAAATGTAAATTAAAGACACACATACAGCACTCATTAGAGGCTGGCACACAGTACTATGTACAGATCAAACTCAAGATGTCTTTTTAAACACTTTACAGGTGACAATTTTGGGAAATGAAAGGTAGTTTTATAGAACATTTACTGAGAGCCTGTTTTAAGCAATTCATTCACCTGTTGAATAATATTTACTAAGCTCATAATGTATGAAGGTGCTGTGTTAAAAGCTGGGGATACAGTGATGAAGGAGATCCTTACCCTCATTGAAACTTACAATCTAACAAAAATAAAACAAACATATAAGGTACCATAAAAGGTACCTAACAGGTACCATAAAAGAAAAGTGTAAGGCCATAACAGAGTCGAGGATGGCTTTCTGTGTAAACTGCTCTTTTCACATTATCTAATGATTAGTTTATATGTCTGGATTTCTCACTAGATTTTGAATTTCTTGAGAACAGGAAACGTATGTTTTACCTGTTGCCATGCCTAGCACTAATTTGCTGAAAAAGTTAATACTGAGAAGGAAAAGACTGCAGTCAAATGTAAAGAAGCACAGAGACCTGAATATACTATTATTATTCTAATCTTACCTTGATTTTGGGAAGGAATCCAATCCGACCCCGCTTGTGCTCCAAATTTCGAGGTTCTTTCACTTTTACTCCCAAATGCTTCATGTACATGAGGATAACATACTGCATTGTCGAACTGGAGGAGAAAGGATTAATAAGACTTCTGAGAAAGGATGGTAGGTAGAATAAAGATATCAAATACCTTCCAAAACCCCAATACTGGCATTCTCAGAATTCATCGAATGAAAAATAAGGAATTATCTATTCACTGTGGACAGTAAAGGATTCTACCCAAGACACCAGAATATTAGTCAAATAAATTCAGACCACCAGAGGGAGATAGTCTATATTTTCAGTTAAAAGAAATAAATCATAATTTAGGACTGACGGGGGAAAAAAGTTTCATTTTTTTCTTAAAATTCAAGAAAAAAATAGTTACATTACCTCTTATCTTCTTCCACAGCCTGAGCAGTCATCCTAAAAATAGAAACATTTAAAAACAAAATATTAAAATTTAATAAAAGAATTGTTATTAAACTCAGCTACCTGAAACAAAAGAGTCAAATGCGTTGACACCTACCTGAAATCTCTGTTTCCTGGAAAATGAAATATCAGAAAAATTCTAATTCCTGAAGGAACTATATGCTTTTTACCCTCATGCCATCAACTATAAATGTTTTATAGCAAGAAATATCTCCACAGCCTGTGAACTGAAGCCATCGTAAATATTTAACCTATTTGTGATCAGTTGGAAATTTTACAATTACTCACTTTACCAACACCCAGGAAAAGAAATACAAGAACTTTATTTGAAATATCAGCAAAAATTAAAAATTCCAGCCTCTCAAGTATGACAAAATAAACAGGCCCACAGAGACAATCTGATACTCCTCCTAAATTTGTTCAAAGCGTACTTTAAACATAATTAGCATCTTGGTAGAGAGGCATTTCTATGCATACTTCTGTACTTACAAAACTTCTTCAATTTTGGCAACAATCTGTTCCGCACATGCCCGTTCCTTCTCCAAAGTTACCCGGTCCTTATCTCGCTCTGCATCAAGTTTCGTCAGTTCGCTTTCAGCCAAGGTCAGCCCCATGCTACGTTTCTGCCTGAAGGGAATAAGAGAAATTTTCTGAGGTAGCCTAGAAAAAGACATCCCCTCTGGAGATGTTACATCAGAGTTTCCATAGCTATGAATTTCTAGCAACAGGCAAAATGTCACAGTTTTCTATTTTGGGATCCATGTCACCTAGGACACCAGAGGAGAAAAAATTCTAGAGGCAACCACTCAACAGAATACATACCCTGAAGGAACACACTTAGCACAGACCGAGTACTAAACTCAATCCTGACAGTGCCTGCAATGGGGACTATGGACTCTCAGTACCATGCCAGCCTTTTGACTCCAGATGTTCATTATGTTTTAATAACAGTGATAAAGACCATATGTTAAGCCAAGAACTTAACGTTTAACTTTTTCTTACCTAAAAAGAAAATTAATGCAGAACGACCATATCAGCTTCTATCTACCACATAAGCTTACCGAAAATCTTCCAAGTGCCTCTGGACTTCTGGGTGGACTCTTTCTTGCATGGTTTGGATATAGTGGCGATGTAGATCCTCAGGAATAAGTTCAGGTCTTCTTTTTTCTGCATAAATAAAAGGAAAGAAACCACTTGATCTAAAGGCATATTCTGTGCATTGTAACTGGAGATCTATCAACACTATTTGGTAAGAACACTTAACTTGGAGTAAGACAAAGAGAAGTTCTTCAATCTATTTATGTATCTCATCTCAGAATTCATATTTCATTTATCCTTAAATGTATTACAGACTCTTTTTCTGTTGTGATTCACATGACCTTCTGGTCACTATGTAACAGATAAAACCTTTAGAGATGAGCTGAGCTACACATCTTTAGAGACATAGTTCTTCAGCATGTTGGTGCTCCAAACTTACCTAGATCTACTGATATTTCATCTGGAACAGAAACTTTCAGGTGCTAAAACAAAACACAAACAAGAAGTGAAATAGCATTAAGGGCTCTTCTAGACTCATATAAGCACAAAATAAAGAGACCCAATTTGAATACCTACTTTTACAAGCATATTCATGTCTAAGCTCATTTTGGGGGGTTCCACCCATCTAAATTTCATAGCTCTGGAATGTTCTATTGTTTAAACTTGAAAACAAGCCCTTTCCCCAAGGATCATGTTATAAAGGAAATATGTACAATTGTTTTACTAGATGACTGAATACTTCTGTGCCTTACTTATTCCTGTTGGCACTGGCTTTCTAGAATGGATGATTACTGACTTGGGCTTTCCAGAACCTTTAGTTAATAAAATCAGTTATACATCATTTGAATCGAAATAGGTAAAACCTCAACTATGTGTATATTATCGTATGAAAAATTTACTCCTATATAACATGATTTTTATTTGCTGTATTTGAGACATATTACAGACCATAATATTCCCAATCATTTTGCTATGTAAAGTTAAAGAACCTCACAAGACTGGTCATACCCCAGTGAAAAGGTATTGCATGGCAACGCTGAGGCTTTGGAGTCTTAAGTCGCTAGTTCTTGCATTGAATTAAGGCAACTGTGCCATAATTTACTTCTTCTTAGCTAGGATTTTTTCCCATAATAACTGCAGCTTCTGGCCCCATTACCAGATAGTTTTCTCCTGTTAATTTGGGAAATGTCTTGGAAAAAAATTATTTTGCATTTGGAGGAAATAACTTTATGCTTACTTTGTATTGCATACCTACTTAAGTCATATTCTTCCAGAATTTAAACAATTACCGTTAAGATCTGAAGTTTTACATTTAAAGATAAGTCACTGCTAAAAATTATATCGCTAATATTTATTTGAAGAACAGTGAAATGAATTTCAAAGCTTTCTCTTTAACTAAAGTTGTCATCAGTAGCTCAAATCAACTTACCTAAAAGTATTTCTAGCACAAATACAAAAAAGTATATAGACATTCATTTCTGTACATGAGTATTTATATGAAATAAATATCACCTGTGGCATAAACGAATAATTAGCAAATTAACCAATCAGGATTCTTACACTTTATTGATAAATTTATATAGGTCATGAGCAGCAGCATACAAAGTTTTGACTTAGCATGGAGCTCTCTTAAGAAACGTGAAATTCACATTACTTCAATATACTGTTATCTCTTCATGGAAGAAAATTATCTTAATAAATATAATGTGTAATATTTTAAGCAATGGCAGTATAATCAGAACACTATCTAATCCATTCAGTAAACATGTGAGTGACCACTCTGTCAGGATCTATTCAGTACTGAGGAAACAGCAGTGAGCAAACAGAATAAAAATATCTGCCCTAATGGAGCTTACATTCAGGGCAGAAGAGTAGCAATACAGACAGACAAAATAAAGAAGAAACATATAAATTCTATGGACAAAAATAACACGGGAAAGGTGACAGAAAGTGAAGGGGATGTAATTTTAAGTAACTTGATTGGGGAAGGCCTCACTGAGAAGGTAACTATATTCAGCAATGTGTATATAAGCAACTTCGTAATAAAATACAAAGCAAATGGGGCAAGAGCTGGAGGGAGAAGTGGAGCCAAATGTTTCTGTCTGCGTGTGTTTGCTTTAAGATAGGAGAACTAATACTGTTTGCATGCTAAGGTGAATGGTTCACTGGTGATGCAGGAGAGAAGGGGGCGAATTGCTAAACTAGCATCTTTGAGGTGGTATAAGGAAATGCGATCTGGGTAAATAGCGGGAGAGGTGGCATTAGATAAAAGCTAGAACCCCTCCATAGTGTCAGGAGAAAGGGCTGAGTATATGGCATGATGGGGGTAGGGTGATACATCTTGTAGAAGTTCTCTTCTGTATACCTTAAATTTCTCAAAGAAATGGTAAGGTATCAGCTGAGAAAAAAACAGGAGAGGAAGTGATGGATATTTTAGGAGTGAGAAGGTGAACGAATGTGAAAGAAGTGGGGGCGTTCAGCATGGTTATCCAGGAAGTATTAAGGGCTAGCTGTTATTCACCCTATAGCAAGGCTAACAATAACACATATGAGTTTAAAAATCTTATTAAGATTCCTCCCCGTAAAATAAAACACTATTATATTATCATTTATAGGAAGAAGATCATTTCCACCACTTTTTAGTTAAACTTGTGCCTCTACAATTTAGAGTCCAATTATGTAAGAATTACTCTTTGGATCCTAATATATATATGTATATCATTTGTGTTCTCTTTTTCACTCTCTCATTGTATTATGCACATATATATAAACCCAAATATACATAATATCCCTTAAAACCTCCTACGAGAATTCATATGTCTATAACTAATTTAGAAATGATAAAAAGTCAAGAGTAATCAACAACTGAGATATAACAGAGATGTCAGAAAGCACAATAAACTGCAAAAACATGAAAGGGAAGATTCAAAGTAGGAAGCCAATAACTCAATGTACTAAAGCAAAAATTATAATATTAACTTGGTAACTTACTGCAGCTCGATCCAGGAAGAACTGATGAAACTCAAGGAAGACACGACGAGTCTCCTTGGAATTGGTCTGTTTATAAAGGTCTGAATAGAGATAACAGAGCTGTAGCAGAGAAAGAAACGGGGGAGAAATCATGAAAACGTAATCTGATAGACTCCTATTGAGTAGGAATGCTTGGAACAAGCGGGCCACCATAAACAATGTAGTTATTACCATATAACTAAGTCTTTAAAAAAACTGGTAACATTTAAATTATCTTTCATATCTATCCTTATACGTTTAGAAAACTGAAAAAAGTCTGCCCACTCATCTTGCTGAAGTGAAAAGTTTTGTGGTATATGAATCAATGCAAGAACTACGAATTGGCTAAATTATAAACTACATTACCAATGTTGCAGGGTCAAACTGTGAAACTACATGGTGTAAGAAAACAGCCAAGTGAGCAGGGCGAGATTTTAGCAGTTCAATGCTCTGGAAACAGCTACACTGCCCATTGATCTAGAAAAAGAAATAATTATAGATCAGTAACTCCAACACATAAATGCAAAATGTAATGTCAGCTCAGTTAAATATAACGGTCTAAAACTCACTTTGACCTACCCTAAAAAAATTCAAGATTTAACAAAATTTCACTAGAATTTATTAACAACGGAGGCTATGGAATCTCTTCCTCTGAAAATTAATAATCTCTTGGGGATATGCTGGAACAAAGACCATTTTGGAAGAATGCAAGTCTAGAAGATGATTATCAAGGAGCTCAGATGTTTACAAATCAGTACACAATAAACAGTTTAAAAACACTTTTTAAAATGTAATGGAAGGCTTTTTGTCTAATAACAAAACAGCTGTCTTCCTTTTTGGGAGGCCTAATCACAAAAATGGTAATAGGAAATGAAGTTGTATGATTTTAAATAAGACAACTCCTAGAATACTTGTATATTCCCAAACTACACTCAACACAGAAAAGAGCAACAGTCAAACTTAAAGTAACCTAGAATTACGTAAGTTAATCTAAAAAAAGAACACCAATTCTATACAATCTCTTTCAGAAAATACAAGCGGAGGGGACACTTCTCAACTCATACTGAGTCTAGCATTATCCAACTACCAAAACCAAAGACATTATAAAAAAACGACAGACTAACATCCCCCATAAACACAGATGCAAAAATTCTACCAAACTAGTAGCAAATTGAATCAAACAACATACAAAAAGGAAAATACATTATAGTCAACTGAAGTTTATCCCAGGAACGCAAAGCTGGTTCAACATGCTAACAGTATCAATCATGTAATTTATGGTATTAAGAGGGTAAATTAAAAAAAAAACCCATACGATCATCTCAATCATTCAACAAAATTCAACATCCATTCATGATAAAAACCCTCATTAAACTAGGAATAGAAGGAAACTTCCTTAAGCTAATAAAAAGTATCTACAAAAAAATCTTCAGCCAACATCATTCTTAATGATGAAAGACTGAACGCTTTCTCCCTAAGATCAGGAATAAAGCAAGGATGCCCTGTCTCATCACACCGATTCAACCTCATGGTCATATTGGAAATCCTAACTAGTGCAATAAAGATAAGAACAAGAAATAAAAGATAAGCAGCCTGGAAACGAGGAAATAAAAATTGTCTCTATTCATGGTTATCTTATTCATGTAGAAAATCTTAAAAATTTATTATTAGAAGTTCTTAGAAGCAGTGAGTTTACTAACAAGATCATGGGCTACAAGGACAAGAATAAAGCCAATCATCATATTCCTATATGCCATCAATAAACAACCAGAATTTGAAATTTTTAAAAATTGTAATAACATTCCCCCTCTCCCAAAATGAAGTACTTGGTATAAATCAATGACTTCTTACCAGCCTTGAAAGCAAAGCCACTTTTGTTGGTCAAAGCTAAATAAGCAATTAACCCAAGCAACTAACTAATCTGTTCTAAGATTTTAGCTACAAATCCTTATAAATATAATTTCAAGTTTCATAAAGTGTTCATTTCTGCAAGAAACCAAACATTTCAGAAAATTAATAATTTGGGTTTTTTAGGAAAAAGAAGTCATCACCTGTTCATGTTCAGTACCAAAGTCATCATCCTCTGCTCCAATAATATGAGGTGCTATACGAGTAGAGGGGCTCCCGATAAGTGATTGAGTGTCCTGGTATTACATTAAAAAAAAAAAAGGAAAAGAAAAATTATCTGCTGGTCAACTGCAGAGAAAGAACAAAGTCAAACCATCAAAAAGACATGGCTCACAAAACTGACTGCATTTCTTTTTATTTATTTTCTTTAGTTACTTTATTTTCAAAGTGGTTCTCAAACTTTCAAGGCCATAAACCACTTTAACAAAGAAAATCACATTTTGATCACTTCTTGGGAGGAAAAACATTTCTCCCGGAAATAATAAACACCCTTTGCTCACTACACTCTTGGTTATTTGGTTATACACTCTCTGTATACTTCATTTATTATTTCATACATATCTAGGCCTTGTTACAGAAAGAAATAAAGCTGGCTTACATAAATAGTTACAATTTTTAAAAGTTACATTAAGAAAAAGTAAATGAAGACAACAAGGCAAAGAAAAAATATGAGTAGAAGTAAGACAAGTTTAGCAGGGAGGTTAATACAAAGGTTTCTGTTAATGTCGCATAATTGAAAGCTGTCACTGAACTCTTTTTTTTTTTTCGTTTAAAATTCATTTTCATAAGTACATAATGCAGTGTTTTTCAACCCTGGCACTGTTGACATTTTGGGCCAGATGATTCTTTGTTGTGGGGGTTGTCCTGTGCATTGTAAGATGTTTAGCAGCATCCTTGGCCTCTACCCACCTACTAGATGCCAGGAACAGCCTCCGAGTAATAACAATCAAAAATGTTTCCAGACATTGCCAAATGTCCCCAGAGGGACAAAATCACTCCTGGTTGAAACTCATTGGCATAACGCAATAAAATGTTCAAGTAATCACACAAACACTGCTATAGAAACAACAATATCAAGACTGCAAAACTAAACTGTAGGCTAGCAGTTCTCATTCCCATGCAATAGCTCATCCATGTGTTAATTTACTTAGAAAGCTGGATTTAGCATAAAGAAGACAGTGTAGGGACATTAATGTATAGTGTAAAAAATATAAGATGACAAAGACTGAAATCAAAGACTATACAGTATTAAGAGAAATAAAAAATTTGGAAGAAATATGAAAAGAATGAGTTTGGCTTAAATCTGACAGCAGTTGAGCAAAGAGAACAAGGCTGTAGTGATGTGGGAGTTATCTGCAGAGTAGTTAGGGCTGAAACTATGTACATGGAGCCACAGTTATAAATTAAGTGAATAACACATAGCATGAGTTTTTCTTCCTTAAGTGTGTCGCAACTCTACGTATTGCATTTCCTAAACTGGATTCTGCCTTTTTTATTCTTATTTTTTAAACCCCAAGGCTTTAATAATTAAAAAAAAAATCAAGTGGAACAGTAAAACTTTGTTTACAGGATTAGTGAAACAACTTTTGATTCTACAGCTGATTTGATGCCTCTGATTTTTCAATTATGTTGCTAATAATAAATGAATCAAAATATGCTGTTAAATCTTTGACTATAAAACTCTATACAAGTCTTAATTAAAAAATAAAATCAGAATGCTGAAAGTATTCAATTAAGAATACATAAGGTCTAGCAATTCCACCTGAGTATATATCCAAAAGAACTGAAACGAAGAACTCAAACAGGTATTTATTTGTACATCCATGTTCACAGTATCATTATACACCACAGCCAAAACATGAAAACAACCCACGTGTTCACTGATGAATGAATGGAGAAAAGAAATGTGGTGTATATATGTACAACGGATTATTATTCAGCCTTAAAAAGAAGGACATTCTGGCACATGCTAAATCATGGATGAACCTTGAAGACGTTATGCTAAGTGAAATAAGCTGATCACAAAAGGACAAATATTGTATAATTCTACCTATATGAGGTTCCTAGTCAAATTCACAGAGACAGAAAGTAGGATGGTGGTTGCCAGGGGCTGGAGGGAGAGGATAATGGGGAGTTAGTGTTTAATGGGCACCAAGCTTCAGCTGGGGAAGATGAAATAGCTCTAGAGATAGAGAAGGTGACAGCTGCACAACAATGTGAATGTAACTTAATGCCAATGAACTTAAAAATGGGTAAAATAGTAAGTTTTATATTATGTGTATTTTACTAGAAAAAAAATATAATCATCTAATAATACTAACTATGGAGCAGCTCTCCACTTTTCAAATCTTTATTAAGTTCCTTTAATAAGTTTAAGCTTTTTCTCCAAAAAAAAGTACACACACTCTCACACAGGTACATATCAGATATGTCTATCACTTAAGTGTAAGGAAAGCTAAAGAAAACACTATCATTTCATGGATTTCATACTCACAGTGTCCTGAATTACTTCACTTTTCTCTGGATTTTCCTCTAGATAAATCCTCTCTTTCAGGCCACTCTTGGGACTCTAATAAAGAAAAAAAAAAAAAAAAGACATTCATTCATTTCAAGAGGCTCACCAAAAGGGGATAAGGTAAAACAGTGTGAGAGAATAATATTCTGAATTTCATATTTGTACTTGAAACTACTAAATATCTTTCAAATAATACTTGGATCTACTACTATTTTCTTGACTTTGGCAAGTCACTTATTCTCTTAGTTTTTTAGTTTTATGTTGATTAAAAAAATACAGAATCAATAGGAGAGTTTTGCTTCATCTTCAGGCATGAGGGCTACTTTCTATCAAATAACTCTAACTAGATATATTACATATCTCAACTCATTATGTCGAAGTCAAACTTTATCCATTTCCTCTAACCCCCTCTGTCCCAAACAATCTTTCTATCCAGTGAAAAGCATTGTGTCCTATTTATATGCTTGAAAATGAGCTTCTGTCTATTTTTCTGTTACTACCTCATGTGAAACTGTTGGGATTTTTATAAAATTTACATGGTATGTAATGATTTAATATAAAATAGAAATTAAACAATATGCAGAACTTCAAGTTTGGAGGATAAAGAACACCCCAGAGCAATGGGAGCCATTCTTCAGAGCAGCTGAAAATTAAGGTACAAGAGATTTTTGTGTAAATGCCAATAGGGAAGATACACGTTATCTATACATATACCAAGGTACCACAAGGCAGAGAAGACAGTGATTTAAAATGTAAGCCCCTCTTGGGGGAAACAGATGATTCTGGGTCTTGGGCAAGAGATATAAAATATAATAAAGCTAGAATAATCTTGTCACATCAAAAAGCAAGAAAGCTATGTTACTGGGGAGTCATGTCACAAGGACACAAAAGACAACCTGAGGGGGCTCCCACTAGCCAAAAAAGGGGGACAATTTAAGTATCAAAAAGAATAATGACTGCAATGGACTGAAATGTAATAAAATAATAAGCACGTATATTAAAAATCTACAAATTCAAAATATTACACATGTATACACATAGGCGCACACATGGGCACACATCTCAACATCAGTGACCTTTGGAGTTTGTTAGGGCACCAACTCTTCTGGTAACAGACACCTAAAGGAAAATTATCAAATATTTACCCCGAATTTCCTGTATAAGCTATATAGGGTATTTAAAATAGCAAGAGAAAATTCTTTATAAAAATAAGTCCATCTAATAAATATAGAAGGAATAACAAAATTACAATATCATTTTGAAACTACCAATTAAATAATGGATGCAGGCATTCTGATATCAACGGCAGATAAAAATATTAGATAAAAACTTAATAGAGAAATTTATAATGAAGAAATCATGCTGACATTATCTGAACACCTTATACAAACAGTCACAAAAAGATAGCCAGACATTCACCTTCTGATGTGATTTAACAGGATATACACAGTACCACCCATGAATTGTTCTTGCCAAACAACAACTCCCAGACCTTAATCTGTTCAAGACTCTAGATCTTACTATCAGTTTTCAGGAAATACACACCAGAGGAACATGTTAAACAACATCATGAAAATGCAATTAGAATGTCGGTTGTTTTACTGGACTTATGACCCAGTTTAACAACAACCAAAAAAAAAAAATAGCAAGAGAAAAAAAGAGGAAGGAACTATTATAAGTTAAGACACTAATCAACCAAAGGCTGAAGATCTTGACTGGATCTTAATTCAAATAAACCAACTGCAAAAAGATCATTATAAGACTATTAGGGTAATCAAATTCCATATTAAGAAAAAATTAAGATTTGACAATGGCATTATGGCTGTAACTTTTTAAATCTTCTTTTCTCTTAAAGATACATATTAATTAAATAATGTCTTGGATTTACTTTAAAATAATCCAGTATTTAGAGGATATGAGGAATGAGGAATGAAGGGATACAGACAAAATCAAGTTTGGAGCACTTGCTGATGACTGCTGAGGCAGGGGGATCATTATGTCAGTCTCTCTACTTTTGAATAGGTTTGAAGTTTTTCCAAAATAACTTTTAGAAAGTCAGCCACAAACTGAAAATCAGAGAGGCAGATGCTCCAGGCTTTAGATGATGATTTGTGATCAAGTTGCTTCTCTTGTGAGAACTGGTATGCGGGTATTCTTTAAAGCCTTTTCTGAGGTGAGCAAAAGCAGAGGATTTTACTATGATAATGATACCACAAACACCACAAGGAGATTATTTTATTTTATAAAAATGAGCAGAAAATGGAAAAAAAAATGAAGAGCATTGATTGATTCTGACAATCCTAATACAGTGCATTTGAAATGAACATGGAAATCCATAAGCTAAAAGCAGCACAACTCTAGCTTCAAAAAGACACTTGTAGGAATTATACAAGTTTGTTGTGTGTTCAGTGAATAGCCTAGTCTGCACTGTATCATCTCTCACGTGGATTTCTACAGCATCCACTTATTTGGCCTCAGTTTCCTCATCTGTGAAATAGTGATACTGCTTCTTTAAGATTATTATGAGAGTTAAAAAGAGAATCTGTAAAGCATTAGGTATAATGGCTGTCACAAAGCAGGTATGCAATAAATGGTGACAATTTATCAGCCATTTAACACACATTTGTTAAAGTCCTTGTGAGCCAAGCAGTCTTCTTTTCTTACTGATCTCCCTGTCTCTATGCTCCAATTCACTTTTCCATACTGACGTGTTTCTCACTGTGCCTCCCTTCTGCATGTGAGGTAAAACCCAAACTCTTTACTCATTCATTTTGTTGTTCATTCAAATACTTATTAAACACCAATCATGTGTCAGTTTTAATTCACTGGAATGCCTATTTTTACACTTGCCAATTCACTCTGTATTTTATAAGGTTTTATTTCTAAGCCACAGATATTACTAACATTTCTATAAGTACTAGATACAATTCAAATTTTTCATTTGTATCACTTGTTCTGAATTCCTACAGTCTAGCAGTCTTTGGAGACATAAGGTCAAATAATAGGATACGTGCTTTGCTCTCAAGAAACTTTCCATCTAATGGTACAGACAAGCCATGAAAACAGAGAGGAGAACCAGCCCTAAACCAAAAAGGAGAAGTATGAGAGAACACTGTTAGAATAAGCTGAAGCTGATTATAACCTGGGCTCAAGACTTCATTTCTAAGATCAAGTCTAGCCATTTCATCTGCAATCCTAATATACTGGTAAAATTTTTACTGCTCTCCCAAAATGTTATGCATTTTCATATCTTGGAGTCCTTGAGTGCTGGTATTTTGGAACTAGGCAGAGGCAGATCACTTATTAGCTGGGTAAGTTTGGCAAGTTAGTCACTTTGGCCTCAGTTAAAGTTATGACAACAATAGCATGACTTCATAAGGCTGTTGTGAGAATTAACTAACATTAAAAAAAAAACGTACACACTTACTACAGCTTATGGTATGCATGGGCAATAAATGTAAGCTATGTAACTTTTTTCTTGGGTCAAAATTGAAATCCTCCATTAAGACATTTAGTCTATCCAATCATAAGACTCTTGTTACCATGTTTCAAAAAATAAAAACATCTTCAAATTTTCCTTGCATGAGGAGCTGAGTCATCGGGCCTAAGCCCCAAAAGGTGCCCTCCACGATAACTTAGACCAGCGGCTTTCAGTTTCTCTAACCACAACCTTCAATAAGAGTAATTTTACGTTGTTAACCAGTATGCATACACACCCACACCCCTATACACATATGTATATGTGTGTATGTACCACAAAAGGCACACAAAGTAATACCTACCTCTTCTACATGCAAAACACTCCATTTCCTATTTTATTCTTTTTAAAAATATGCAGGTCCCAAATCACTAAATTGATTTCATGACTCATATTAAAAAAAAACTGATTCAGATTACTTTCCTCATCACCTCTAATGAGGGTGATCTATTTTTAAGTAGTTGTTCCTATCACTGCATTCTACTTACAAAATAATGCTGCACAAGCAACACCGAGCTTGGCTTTTAAGTATTCCTGTAACCACGGTGCTACATCATATTCAACTTAAAATATTTTCTTATTGTCTTCCCAACAAATACCCACATTCATCTGGCAATTTCTGGGTTAATCAAGAAAGCATTACTAAACATGGGCTATTAACTGAAGTCTATCTAAGAGGACGAAGGCTTTTCCTCTTTGTGATGGCAAAGTGCCCCATGATTCAAGACTGAGTCACTCTGACCACAAATGGAATATTAACATGCTCTTAAAGATATCAACAGTTGGCCTCTCGGTTCAGTAAGAAAGCACTGGCATTATTAACTTCTCTACCCACAAACAAGATGCCTGCTGGGAAATTCCATCTCCTCAAAAGAAACATTTGGAAATGGTATCCAAGGGAAAAAGTGAACTCTGGAACTAAAAGCTCATATACAACAGTATCCAGAATTTCTGCTCATCAAGTTGCTATACTAAAGATGGTGGCGATAAAAAATAAGAGAACACCTCTAGTTCATATAACTTAAAACAGTATCCAAAAAAGAGTTGTGGAGAAAAATACAAGAAGATAAAGATGCAGAGCACTTACATCTGCACTGTCACTACTGGGCCGAGAAGCATCTCCACTGCTATAGTCACTTCTGCCTGGTCCATCACCAGGATCCGCTTCTACTTCACTGACTGTTAGTGTGTCACCTAATGGCTTGGAGGATGTAACTACAGCTCCATCCTAAAACAGATTAGGCACATACACATGTAAACACATTTAAAACAAACATGAAAAACTTTTATCATCGACTAAATAAAGAGAGTTGCACTGCAACCTTATGGGAGACTTAAAAGTTGGCCAGTTTGATGTGATCAAGAATGCTTAAAGCTCTAAAAGTCAGAAGCATAAATAACTACTAATTCCGCGGTTGTAAAATGGCATGACATTAAAGACAGGGAAAGTGATATTTCAGTAGAGAATAAAATTTCAAACTTCTAAATAGAGCAAAGATAATAAAATAGTTTGTTAACTTATATGATTTACATTTCCTGCCCGTTAGTAAAGATTATGGCACTATAACTTGTGGTTAACTGCCTTTCAACACTTTAGAACTTCAACAAATTGCCAATTTGGGACACAATGCTATACTATAAATTACTACAAGCTTTTAAATCAAGAATTACAGCTTTACTGTTGAAACAGGGTAAGACTGTTGTCTTTGCTCAGTAGTAACAACATAAAACTGTCAATATTACTGAGGCAGAATACTTAAAATTTAATATAGATAATGGGACTAAAAGTAATTTAAAAAACTATGTAATCAAAAGTACACTGAACCAGGAAGTCAGGAGGCCTTATAAACGTGTGACCTGGTATGCGTCATTTAACCAGTTTGGACCCCAGTTTTCCATACCACAGCATGATTTTTTTTTAACTTTAAAATGAGCAAATTAGGATAAATGACTTCAAAGAATCCTTTCAGTTCTATGAACCTACAGATCTAACTCAGGAAGAATAACAAATAAGCACCTTTTACTCATTTCTCCAGATCCCAAATCTAAATATTAATGAATATAAAGCTGGTTGACATATAAATGCTGGGCTGTTTTTTCTAATAAGACCCTCACCTCCATAACTTATACCTATGGAGCAAATCTACTGAAATCTATTTTTTAAATTAGGATAAAAATACAGTCATTAAGAATATGAATGTGCTTTGAATTCACCAGACTGGGTTTCAATACCAGTTCCATCACTTGTGAGCTACATGACCTCAGACAAGTTATTTAATTTCTTCAAGTTTCTCTGTTTCTGTAAAATGTGGGGAAACAACAGTAGTATCTAATCTCAGAGGGCTGTTTTGCAGATTAAATTGGAAAAATCTTACATCCTACTTAAAAACATAACTGCCATTGTTTCAAAATGGCAGAATAAACTTCAAACATGTAAATGTATGTACCTAAATACATTTTAGTAATTTGTCATATCAAAGCAAAAGCACTCAGTTCTTTCTAAAGTTATTACAAAACAAAGAAGTACGATATTATGAGCAAGCAAACAATCAGAAGCCCACATTTCTTTTAACTAATCATTATTTCTGTACCACCCTACACAGGACATCCTGTTGGCCTATGCTAGAAAAAATAACTTTTAAAAAAGGTGACTGCAACACTCTCTGACACATTCCCAGAAGAAAATTCTCCTGCAAAAAGTTGGGTAGCACTTTTAATAGTGATGCTACCTGAGCAGAGCCTGTGGCTTTGGATAACTGCTCTTGCAGCTGAGGAATGTGTTTCTTGGCCTCTTGGATCTCTTTTAGCAACCTTTGGGCAGGTGTTCGGTTGTAATCTTCCTGCAATAACTGAAAAGTTATAAACATATTTCAAGAATTAATTACTTATGTCAAGAAAATATTTTAAAAGTCTATTCTTAATAAAATAGCTGATGTCATTGATTAAAACATGGCTTGATTATGATTATAATAAATGCCCACTCATGTGTTCACTGGCCTGCAAACAGCCCCATGTCTAACTTAGTACCTGTAGCCGTTCCTGTTCTTTCTGTAACATTTTTCTTAGAATTTCTACTTTCTGGTTATGAACCACATTGTTTTCCTCCTAGAAAAAGATAAAAAAACAAACAAACAAACAACCAATACACGGAAAGTGAAGCTAAAATAAGTATCAAAAACAAGTCATACAATATTACATCCCAGCTCCAGTTTTCAATACCTATTAGGATTTTATTTCTGGTGGTTTTGAGAACAGGGTTTTAGACATGACATTTAAAGATAAAAGGTTACAGGGAAATTTCAGCCCTTCTATATTACTTTTGCTAAACTAGGTTCAAAAAACATTAAATATTGATTATTAGTTGGAGAAATGAAGTTGCCTTAAGTATAAGGATAATAATGTCTTCTACTTTCTCTCCTTTGGATCTTGACTATCAACCCCCTTGTGTGGCTCAAATCCCCAACATTTCCTATGTGAAATATTAAGACAGCCCCCAAATTCATCTCCTGCCATCTTGCCTTGTTTTACAGCCCTGTAACACTTTATCAAATTAGTCTTCGTAAAATCCTGTTATAACCACACCACTCTCTTGCTCAAAAAAAAATTCACAATATATTCCCTCTGCTCATCCAGTTTCATGTAAATTAGCCTCAGAGCTGTGACTTTTCAAAATAAATGTCTTATCTTTTTCAAGCTCATCTCCTACTACATACATCTTTAGCAAGCACCAGCTAAACAAGAGTCTTAGATGCTTCCCCCAGATACTTGATGCTTTCTTGGCTCTTTATCTCGTTTACTCTACTCCCTCTACCTGGGTTGCCTTCTTCCCCATTGCCACCACTTAAATGTTACCTGTTTTTCAAGGCTCAATTCAAATAACAGCTTTCCATAAAGTCCTTTCTTATCACACCTGGATGTGCTGTCTCCCTCCTTTGAAATCTCACAGAACTTAAAATTTTCCTTCTCGTAACATCTACAATCTGCCTTTGTAGTATAATTACTTGTAATCTCTTGATTCAATCTCAAACAACAAAGGTTTATTACACACCCACTACTAAATGCCAAGCAATATTTTAGACTCTGGGGACAGAACAATAAACAAAGTAAACAAAAAACCCCCCGTCCTATTAGAGTATATATGCTAAGATAACAAAGGGCTTTGAACACAGGATATCTTAACTATATTTTTGTGGGTGGCACCCTGCTTTGTATATGGTAGGTGTTAAATAGTTGCTGAATTAAATCTGCTATCCCCATACCTTATAATCTTTCCAAATTATTATGCATTTTTTTAAATTAGCAAGTTATTTTCTAGAATCTCCAACTTAACTTTATCAGCTCAGCACTTTGAAATTCAACATAAAGCAAAGGCATCATTGTACAACTGAGCTTTTACAAAGACATTCTCCCACTCTTACCCCCATGAGCACAGGACTAGTAATTCTCTCCATATTCCCAGATGCTCCAGGTGAATGAGGGGATGTCATGATGGGAGACATATGTCCAGTGACTGACGGCTCTACTTCGGAATCGGCAAGTGGAATCTGGGGCGACCCAGGTGGGCGTCCCTGAACAGTAAGAGCTACATAGGAACCCGCTTAGGGTAAGGAGATGGAAGAAAGGGGAGGAAAGGGAAAATAAGATTGTCAAAAAACTTTTACAGCATTTTACTACTTAATCTTTAATAGTTAGTTCTACAAGGTCCAGTTATCTGAGAAAGTTTCACCATCTGTTAACCATTTCTCCACAGAAAAAGAATCCAATTTGTCATTTCTCTTTTATGACTTTCCTAAAAATACAAAAGAACAATGCCATTTTTCAGATAGCTAGTTACTACTCATAAGATCAGATATTACTTAAAAGCAAGTAAGATTTATAACTCCAATAAACTCTTTAATTTAGAGAAGAATGAGTTATTATCAACCACCTACTATTCATGGCTCTATGTTCAACCAATTACTTGAATGTAAATTTAAAAAATCGTTATTTTAAGATGATACTAATCAGGTAATGTTTAACTCATTTTCTGTAATATAATGAACTTTACATTAACTTGAAAAAATGAATATGACAAAAAATATTCCACAAAACCCAGAAAAAACCCACAACAAACATGTAGTAATTTTTAATTTAAAAAATTTAGAGAAGGCAAATTAGCTAGGCATATTTCAGGTGAAAAAACTATGGAAAGCAAAATTGACTATAACCAGAAAGACTCAACAACAGACATTGATTATTTATCTAAAATCAAGAAGAAATGAGACATTCCAAATAAATGACTTTACTAGATAACTGACCTTTAAAGACAAAAATCTTTCTCTTAGACTTTTCAGTAGAAATTTAAAATGTATTTCATGCTTTTAATCCTAATTTAATCCTCCCATGGAACTCACTGGTAATTACTTCACAGTATTTGAGGTTCTACAAACTTTTTTTTTTTGACACTTAATGGTCACAAATGCTCTGATAGTGGGGGGATTTTAAGTGTATACACTTTAAAAAGTTTTTCAATTATATTTCTGTCACCAAGTCATCTGTTTTATCTTATTGGCTTATCCACGTGCTTGTCTCTAATAGCTTCCTGGTTCTTCCTTTCCCCACTTTAGCTGTTTTTAAACTGGTGTTGACTTGAATATGCATTCACGGGTAGGACGTGAGGGAGCTCCATTACAAGTACAGTACACATGGTTTAGGCATTTCAAATTTAGATCTATTTTGTATACTCAGCGTGTTTTGTTTTGAGTTTTTAGCTAAGTTTTTGTTATTGCAATCTATTTTTATAGTCCTAGCATTTAATTTTTTTAAGTAGAATTTATATTAGAACAAGTAAAGTATATAAGCTAAAAATTTAAAGAAATAATCTTACTTTTTATATTCTGTAATAGTTAGCTACCAGGCACATATTTATTACCATAAGCCATCATATTTACGTAGCACATAAAATCTTATAAATCATAATCTTAGTAAATAAGTAATTAAGTTTATTCCAGTATGGGAATCTAATTCTGATCATCCCATTTCTTTTTAAAATGTACTAGTGTTAAGAACTATGATCAAAGTGACAATTTTAGAGCACTGGTACTCTGATGAAAAGGTGAAGGAATTCATGAGTTGCTTTATCTAAGCAATAAGGAGGCCAAGAAGGATTTCAGTTTATTAAATTTATTCTAAAGATGCCCACTGAATGAAAAGAATAATATTAAGCAAAACAGTAGTGTTCCTGCTCGGCCATAAACAACCACCTTCTATTTGTAGTCTCCCGCAGAACAGTCTGAGGCAGAAGATTATAAATCCTTAACCCAGGAGATTTCCAAGAGAAGATCACTGCTCTGGATTATTTAATCATTGACTTATTTGAGGGAACATGATTATGCTACATGATTGTGAAAGTTCCATTTCAGTTCATCCGGGCCACTGTGTCTCATTTCTCAATCTCTCACCTCCCAGGTCAACTCATGCATTTCTTTCAAATATGCGTTAATATTACCAAGTATGACAAGGACATTGTAATCAACCACATATATGAAATGGATTAGAGACAGTTATCAGTAAATTAAGAATTTTCACCTCAGACTTTCCTTTAATGCAGGGGTCAGCAAACTTCAGCCAAGGGACTACATTCAAGTCACAGACTATTTTGGCAAATCAAGTTTTACTGAAACACAGCCACACGCATTCACTTATGTATCACCTATGGCTGTTTTCATGCTACGATGAGAGTCGAGCAGTAGACTATCTGGCCCACAAAGCCTAAAAAATTTACTTTCTGGTCTACTGAAGCAAATACTTGCTGACCTTCGCTTTAAGGGTTGCAGAACACAAAACAGAAAAACATTCACCTACATTTGATTAGCTTCACCACTTCCAAATGGTTTGAATGAGTCACCAGTGTTCCATTCACCTATAAGAAAATGAAAATAGTGTCTATCAGATACTGTTGGGACAATAGATACATTGACTTCAGGACTTATTATACAAGATACAAATCAATTATAATACAATATGGTAAACAGGTCTACATTAAAATGTGTATATATTTGGTTCAATATTCACTTTTACCGCTATTTTTTTAGGTATACTTAGCAACAAAATGAACTTGAGCACAAAAAAAGGCCTTGATTTAAAGGACATTGTAAGGGGAGGGTATAGATCAGTGGTAGAGTGCATGCTTAGCATGTATGAGGTCCTGGGTTCAATCCCCAGTATAGTACTTTCATTAAAAAAAATAATAATACATACATCAAATTACCTCCTCTCAGAAAAACAGGACAAACAAACAAAAAAAGGACATTGTAACTTATTCACTATGGAAAAATAACAAAATATACTATGCAACAGATTTATAAATCCTTCATAATGAAGGACACTTGCAAAAAGAAAAGATTTCTTTGCTTTTAATTACAAATTTACTGATTTGTCAAAAGCATAATACATTTTTAAAAATATGAAAAAATAAGCAATATTTCCACAATAATACTGAATTTATTTTTAGTTTTCCAATCATGATCTAATCTTTTTTGGAGAGTTTTATTATTTTAGTTATTTATTTTTAAATTGAAGTATAGTTGATTTATAATGTTGTGTTAGTTTCTTGTGTACAGCAAAGTGATTACATGTGTATATATATATTCTTTTCCATTATAGATTATTACAAGATACTGAATATAGTTCTCTGTGCTATTCAGTAGGACTTGTTGTTTATCTATTTTATTATAGTAGTTTGTATCTGCTAATCCCAAACTTCTAATTTATCCCTCCCCTCTCCTTTCTCCTTTGGTAACCGTAAGTTTGTTTCCTATGTCTGTGAGCTCATCATGACCTAATCTTTACAAAGGAAATTAAATTTCAGACAGGCTAAATGCAGGAAGTGTTACCCAAAGTTACCAGTAAACCAAACAAATTAAGGTAAAAATATCAGACAATGAATCTAACATTATTTTTCTCTGATGCAAGTAATACTAATTTTTGCAAGTTCAAGTATATCAGTGTATGAAGTGGAAGTAAAAGTATACTTGTCATGCCTACCAGAGATGGTCACTGTTAACTATGATGTTTCATCTTTGAGACACTATTCTAGCATACACATACTAGATACACAGACACATATATATACACATTATAACTGCCTTTTTCTGCAAATAAAAAATATTTTTATTGCATTGTGAATGTTTTTCAGTATAGGTACAGATCTAAACCAGTGTTTTGAAAAGTTGCAGATGAAATGTAATTTATTTCTCTAGCCCTCATTTATGCATATTAAGATTGTTTAGAAGTTTTCAATATGAAAAAGCTTAATAAATTTTCCTGTACACATATCAATTCACATTTGTACACTTATTTCCTTAGATAAGTTCCTAAAAGCAAAATTGTGCTCAAAAGTTACATACTTTCCTAAAGTATATAAATTTAGATACTTATCCACAAATTTCCATCCAGATTTTACCTAATTTATATTCACAGCAAGCTCATGAAAGTAATAACCATTTTACCATACCCCCAACTATGCCAAATGTGTATTATCAATCTTTTAAAACTTCTGACAATCAAATATATTTTCAGCTATCATTTAATTTTTATTTCATCATTATCAGTGAAGTTTAACATATCCTCATTAACACATATTCATTTCAATTACTTTGGGGGGAATCGCTTGATAAAGTGCTGTGCCCATTTTTCTGTTAGATTATTTATTCTTCTCTTAGTAATTTAAAGGGGCTATTTACAATCAGGATTTCATATTCTGTAATATGTTTCAGATATTTTTTTCCAGATAGTTCTTTGTAAATTTGTTCATGGTATCTCTTCCTGTATAGTCATCTGATTTTAAGCAATCACATTAGTCAGTTGTCTAAAGAGTAAGTACTGGCCCATTGTTTCCTTACTGATAAGAACTTAAGGCCTGTTTCTGGACTTGCTACCGTGCTCCACTGACAGGTCCATACCTATACTAGAGTCACTTGCTTCAAATTAATCCACACCATATACCCTCACACTTACCCACACACATAATACTTTTGCAAAGTTTATTCAGAAAAAATAATCATGTGGCAGTTTGAAGAGGAATGGAACACTTCCCCAAATTTATTAACATATTCTGATGAGAGTTTCTTGCTAAGAGATTAATCTGGAGGAATATGATCTTTACAACAGTGAGTTACTCTCCTACCCAAGAACATATATGACTCCATCTATTCAAGCTTTTATCATGCTTTTCATAAAAGGTAATGTTAATTTTAAAGTAAATGAAATAAGTTTTTATAGTCAACAAATCATAAAAATTCAAGTGAAAAAATGGCTAATATATGTTCTTAATTCCACCATAAATTCCCTAATAATTTTCCTTACCTTGATGATCCGATCACCTGTCTGTACTCCAGCCCGCATGGCTGCTCCATCTACAAGAGAAATTAATTTGTAAAATGTAATTCATTTACATTCACTGGTATTCTTGAAAGAGAGGCAGTGTAACAAAATGGTTAAAAACGTGGGCTGTAAAGTCAGACAGACTTTGGTCCATTCCTGCCTCTGCCACTCACTAGTTGTATGACCATGGACTGACTATTTTTTTTTCACTGTAAGCCTCAGTATCATCTGTAAAATGGAGATTAAAAATATCTACCTCAAATTACAGCACCCAACATAAAGGAAGTATTCGATGTATAGTAAAGTAGTATAAGTTATTATTGTCACTTGGGGAAAGGGGTGGATTTTTTGAGCCTACAATCATTTCTTTAATCTGCTTCTACCCAAATACCTCTGGTGCCATGAAGAAATAAAATTCCATGAACTCTTTTAAGTGGTGATGCATAAAGTATCATGACCAAGGAGTCATATGATTTTTAAAACAATATAAGAACTGTTTTCTTTCCATAAAGTAGAAAAGAAAATCAACTGGGGGAAAATTCGTGCCGACACCTATAACACTAAATACAGATCTAGCACAACTGGGCCATAAGAACTGTAATGCATGTGACTATTTTATTCTCGGGAACAGACATTATTTAAGCTTTTCTGTTCGTGCTCGATTTGCTCCCAAGTGACAAGACTGTTTTAGAAAATGCCTTGCCTTCTTTGACAGACTGTACGAAGACTGGATTGTCTCCACTGACCGTCAGCCCAAATCCATTGTCATCCTTCTGGATGATCACACAACGCTGAACAAGACCTGCACAAGGACCGCAAGGGAAAGAGAGAAGGAAAGAGAAAACAGAGAAAAAGACAATAATTACATATTAGTAATGAACTGTATTCTATCTGGAGAAACACAAGGTAGCACATGAAACCCATACAAATAATAAGAGCACTAACCCCATAAGCAAAACAAACACAAGAATATAACAAACAGTCAAATATATTGGTTTCTCACAGGAGAGAGAGCATAGACTTGCTCCAAGATTAAAGCAGCTATGGCAGACTGGAAAAGATGAAGCATTAGAGAGGAGACAGTTAAATGGAAAGTCCATTCACATCTATGCAATTTATTTGTAATATAAAATCCTCTCCCACCTCCCTGTGTTTTTGGTGCTCTAATTGGTGTTTAAACCCACAGTAATCAAACATTTTGAGATGTTAGGCTAGGAGAATCCCAGGGTAAACTCTAGAGAAGCCCAATCTCACTCTCAAGAAAATATACTCAGAAAAACAGACTATATAAAGAAAGGAGGTGCTTACAGAGCACCTGCAGCTCTTCTCCTGAGAGGGAGGGAAAAAAGGAAAAGTCCAAAGGAAAAAAAGACTTCAGCTCATAGAAAAAATGAAAAGAGAAAAAGTAGAAAAGATAAGGAACCTGTGAGTTCAACCAATTCTTTCATTTCTTTCATATACTTACCTGATTCCTACAGAGAATTTGTTTTCCTTCTAGTTAAACAGCAAACAAAAATTGTCAAGGCAAGGTAAGAGAAAGACCACAACCAAAGGAACAGGGGCGTCCCAGAACAGAACCCCGACTAGTGCCCAGAGCTGTTTTATCACTGACCATGATCAGATCCTCAATTCTGTGTTAGCCAAAGACTTAATATATACTTTCAGCTTTGCAGAATCTAAGTGTTTCACCAAAAATCAATATATAAAACGTAAAATAACACAAATATAATGGTGATTAGAATATAAAAACTTCAAAATGAAGTTTTTTTGTACAAAGAGCCATGATCTTTTAAATAAGCCTGATGCACAAAATAAAGGATATACTAAAGACTGCATATTCATGAATATGTAAGTATATTACTTGCTATCAGTACAGATGAAAAACTGGAATAACTGGATCCCAGGATGGAAAAACATGAACCTCGAATCTGAATTCATAACCCTACACAAAAATTAACTTAGAGCAAATCATGGACCTAAACATAAAAGCTAAAGATTTTCATAAGAAAACACAAGAGAAAATCTTTAAGACCTTAGGACAGGCAGAGAACTTTTAGGATACAAAATGCACTGATCATAAAAGAAAAAACTGGCAAAATGAACTCAAAATTTAAAATATCTGCTCTTCTAATGACACTGATAAGAAAATAAAAAAGGAAGTCACAGACTGGAAGAAACTATTCTCAATACAAATTATCTGATAAAGCACTTGTATTCAGACATACATTTTTTTTAAAAAAAACAAGTCTACAATCTGATGATGGACGACACATTTTAAAGGGACAAAAGATTTGAATAAACACATCACAAAGGAAAATACACCAACAGCCAATAAATACATGCAAAAGTGGTCAACATCTGCAGTCATCAGGAAAATGCAAATTAAAACTACAATGAGAAATCACTATACACTAACTGGAATGGCTAAAAAGAAAAAGACTGATAATACCATGTATTGGCAAGGCTGCGGAGAAACTGAAACTCTCATACGTTGCTGGTGGGAGTGTAAAATAGTACAAACACTTTGGAAAACAATTTGGAAATTTCTTATAAAGGTAAACAAACATTTACATATGATCCAGCAATTTAACTCCCAAGAGAAGTGAAAACTCATGTCCATACAAAGCCTGGTACACAAATGTTCACAGCAGTTTTGTTCATAAGAGCCAAAAACTACAAACAACTCAAATGTTAACCAACAGACAGATGGATAAACAAATGGTGATATATACATTACAATAAAATACTACTTAGCAAGGAAAAAAATAGGAACTACTCACACACGCAACAAACATGAATGAACCACAGAAACATCATGCTAAGGAAAAGAAGGCAGATAGAAAAGAGGGTACATAGTACATGATTCCAACATAGATGAGGCAAAACTAAACTATAGCAACAAAAAGCATATTAGTGGTTGCCTAGTGGCCAGATTGGGAGGAGAGGTAAGAATGATGCAAAGAGACGTGAAAGAACTTTCTTGGGTGATAGAAATGTTCTATATCTTAATTAAAGTGACGGTTACCTAAATATATTCATTTGTCAAGACTCACTGAACGGTACGCTTAAACTGAGTGCATCTTACTTTATGCAAATTGGACCTCAAAAAAGTTAATTTTCAACATTAAAAAACATGTGAGACGCCAATTCTAGAGACGACTAAATACTAAACAGTATTTGAATTCACAAATTCGCCATTCCTTCATAACAGGAAATTGTAATGGGGGCAGAGGAAAGATAACTTACCAGAATTTAATTGTTTTCTTTTGTTTAATGTCCCTTCAAGTAACTAGGAAAAACTCTAAATAGAATAGGTATGACTACATAAAATCAAGGAAAGAGGCATTCTTTTTAAATTTCCAGTACATAATAGAATCAATACAAGAATAAGAAAATGGTGTTCCACAGGAATCTTTTAAAATGCATGCCCAGTTTTGGAAACATAAACATTTGATGACCTCCTTTACAGTTATTTGAAATTTCAAAATAAATATTTTGACTTTAGAATTAAAGGATCCTCGTGTTGGTGTTTGCCATGCTAAGCCACCGTCAGTTTTTTGGTTGTTGTTATTTTTTGTTTGTTTTGCTTTGTTTCTTGCCACCATGCTTCTTAAGCAGATGTTTTCCAGGTCCCCACAGAGAACTGGGTACTTGTACACACAATGAGGGAGAGGAGCAGTGGGGGCTGAGTTTGCTATGTTTGTGTATTCCACTTGAATATAATGTACCTGAAGTATTTAGTTTAATGCCTTACAAATACTACAGGCTCATAAATGTTAGGTATTATTTTTTTATGATTAGCGGTGGGTTGCCCTTGGATTTTCCTGCTCAGAAACTTATTACTTATCTATCCATGCCATCAATCAAAAAATACTTTTGTGTTAATGAACTCCTATCATTAATGTAAAACTCCTTAACAGGACCAATCCTCATTTATGTCTTTGTCTAAATTTTGTTTTGTTTTGTTTTAACACACTAGCAAATTACTTTTCAATGGGGAAGGAAGAGAGTTGGGAAATTTTACAGAGCAGGACTTATTGTGATAGATAACTTTAGAAGACGAGAGACACCAAGAAGTTCTCAAGAAACAAATCGTCTCCTCTTGTAAACTTTCCCTAAATATGTAGACAGGGTTATGTGCCCACTTCTAGACCCACTGCACCCTCTACTTATCTCAAAGTATCTTTATCATAGTTTCCAGTTCCTTGTTAAAATGATCTGTGCTTGGACCAATTCTCTTTCATTAACTCAGTTAGCATTTTTATTACCAGCTTTCTGAATTCATTATCTGGTAGACTGATTATCTCTGTTTCATTATTTGTTTTTTCAAGGATTTTCTCTTACTCTTTCAATTGAGAGTAGTTCCTCTGCCTTTTTATTTTATTTAACTTTCCCTGTCTCTATGAATTTAGGTGAAACAGTTACCCACTGTGGTCTGGTGGGGTGTCTTTATGTCAGAGCATCCCAGTGTAGACTGTGCGTGCCCAGTGTCTTTGGTATGAGGGCTGGATTTGATGTAGATGTCAGCTGCTTCTTTCCTCAGGGTGTGCTGGCCACTATCAACTTAATAAGGGCTGTAGCTGGTTTAGGGGAAGCTAGAACCTATAAAGGGTGTAAAGCAGGGCTTCCTCTCTGCTCAGTAGCAGTTGCCACCTTGTTAGAGGAAGGGTCTGCTCTCAAATTGCTGGAGCAGAAGCCCTGAGGGTCAGGCTAGAGTTGGCTCTGTTCCCTCCAAGTGTGTGTTTTTCCTTCTCCCCATACTGGGACTTTTGCCCCAAAGGAGGGGAGTGCTGAAGTAGGTGGGGCTCGTGCACTTACAGAGGTCTGATGTGCTGCCTGTGTAAGCATCCGCAATTCCACTCAGATGCAGCCCAAGGTCGAGTCTTTTCCCCTGTTGTGGTCATCCCAGATCTAGTGCAATGTTGTGGCGTGGAGTGGGCAGGGCTGGAGTGTTTGTTTGGCGGGACTGGGGATCACACACATGTTGGCTGTGGGAGTTCAAATGGCTGCACTGCTGTCAGAAGTCTGGGCTGTTTCTTGTGCCAGTACCATACTGTTTGGATTACTGTCACTTTGTAGTATCATCTGAAGTCAGGGAGCATGACTCCCCCAGCTTCATTCTTTTTTTTCAAGATTATTTTGGCTACGTGTGCAGTAAAATTATATCAATTTTATCTAATATAACTGAAAAATGATTTTTAAAAAAGTCTAGCTGCTTCTACAGCACTGTTTGAGTAAGCACCAACAATGGCCACCACCACCCCACCTGGACTTCTTCCCAGGTCCCTGTTCGCTGCGGCATCCCTAGCTTGAGTTTTTCCTAGGTCCTGGCTGCCCAAGATCCAGTGCCACACTGTGGCACAGAGTAAGAGGGCCCAGGGTGTTCACCCAGCTCAGATGGGGGAGAATGATGAGGTGGCAGCTGCTAGGGCATACCTTCCACTGCCCAGCCTGGTGGAAAGCCAGCACCCATGCACTCCTCACAAGTGGAGTCAAGGCTCCTCCAGCCTTTCTATCTCTCCCTTTGGTTCTCCAAGCAGACAAGGGGAATTGTCTCCACCACATAGGACTCCAGTACTGGGATGCCCAGTCTGTGGCTCAGTCAGCTCATTCGCCAGGGTGAGTGTCAGCCTATGCCATCTCCCTTTTCCTCTTAGTCCCCCTCTGGGGGCACAGGTTCCAACTTCATGCTTTTCTTCCTGATTACATGGGACTCTTTCTTGAAGCCTTGTTTGCAAAGGAGTTTTCTACCTGTTTCCAGTTAGCTTTCCATGAGAATTGCTCCACATGTAGATACATTTT